AAATACATATTTATATAAGTTCACATTTATATCGCCTAAACTTGGCATTAGATCTGAAGTTTAATTGCCCAAGTCCTACAAGGAAATTTTGCATACAGTACTCATGCAGGTGTGTGCCTGGGTACACATTTCCCTTTGAACATCTGCATCTTGTTAAACTGGCTGGGTATATCTCTATGTATATCAGGGAATGTGCATTCTCATTTAGGACTTTCGTGTAACTAAAGCCTCATCAAATCAAGTATCCCGGTTAATTGAAAGATTTTTACAGTCTTTAGCCTCCCATCAAACTTATGAAGTTGGCCATGATTATATTGTTTTTATTAAGCTTTATATGGCAGACAACCCTGTTGCTAACAGTTCTCAAATTTGGAACCCTGATAACCCTGTCATGTGCTGAAGTCCATTACACTAAAGACCCACAACCAAACTAGCCTCATAACGTGAATTAAATAATAACTTGGGAGTGCTTCTTTTCAGAGCTTTGTTTCGTGAACCAGTAGGGCAGCTGTTGGCTCTATCCGAATTTCTATAGTCAGCTGTAGCAGAATTTAAAGTGCAGAGTCATAGCTATGTTGAGTGTATGTTATGCTAAGTATCTGTTCTCCCCCCCAACAAGATATATGCAGTTATCAGGTTTAAATCAGGATGCATCCGTTTTCCAGGTTAACTGTAGAATTCCCTCTGCACAGAATTGCATCTGGCAACTTCACTGTATAGCTTTTGGCAAATGCCGAAGATGCACCTCTTTATCCTGGTCTAAGATGTGTGTTTTCAGGATCCACCCTATTCTTGTGACTGACATTTGTTTTAATGATTGTTAGTTATGAATTTTAAATTGTTGTATGTATGTGTAGTATAAATCACATTGTTGTATGTATGTGTAGTATAAAGCACATGGTATGTGAACTCTCAAAAGACCTGGTTCACACACTTAGCTGTCGATGATTTTTAAATTATTGAATATTTCATGGCTGACAGCTGAATGTATGAACTGAGTTGAGTCTATTAAAAATCATTGTGTCTGAGGCAATGAGACACAAAATATAAACTCTGTAGGGTTGTTTTTGCTGGGCCACTCACACTTGTAAACTTGGCAGTTGCTAAGTTCTGAACATGCACCAGCTCTAAGTTTGACGTCCTGATTTCTAACTGTGCAAACGTTCCAGTACTACAGAACGTGCACGTGTGAATGGGACATCACTGACGAATTAAGAGCTATTATTGCTTTCTCACATGATTGTCTTCCATGCCCAGGGAGCTTTATTTTTGTGGGGGATTGATAGAATTGAAACACAAAATTCCCCACTGCAGTCTGTCCCAAATTTTGCAGTAATTTATTGACAAATCAATACCTTGAATAACTCACAGGCACATTACAAGTGCAAGATGGATGTACTGTAGTTGCCACCTCATGAAAAAGTTCATTATCACTTCAAGAAAGTGATGGTTTTTAAAGAATTATTGTGTTGGAGTTATTTGGAATCGTCTTCCCCCACCGACCAAAAGCTAATAAGGTCAGAATATTAACTTTGGAAAAGTATATGGCGCCATAGACGTGGGGTGTCCTCCTAAACAAGGGCTGTGATGGATACTAAGGTTTAGGAAAATGGTGAAAGCCACCAGGCTTATTATGTCTCTTCGGCCAGCATTTGGTATCTTAACCAGACTTTATTTAAAATGGAAAACTACTAAATATCATTTGAGGCAGTTGAACTGGATGATGATGATTTGCATTTCTCACAAAAGTGAACTAAAGCAACTTACAAACACATCATAAACACTATGGAAGCCGCCCAGAGTGGCTGGGGAAACCCAGCCAGATGGGCGGGGTACAAATAAATTATTATTATTATTATTATTATTATTATTATTATTATTATTATTAAATCAAATTTAAAAAGCACAACCAATGAAAACCTAAACAACGCATCTCTACAAATAAAGGACTGGTCTTACAGATCCTGCTGGCACTAAAATAGGCCACAATTACTTGAAGCCCTTCAAATTAAAGACCAAAAGCCCTGGTAAAAAAAAAATTATTTATTTTTTACTTGGCTCCAGTGTTTGAAATTCCCCAGGTGCCAGGCACGTTTTGCTACTGGTGCGGGTCCAGTTGAGACTATGGAGATTTTTGGGTGCCAGGTTGGCAACCACTGTTTAAAAAACCTCTGCCTTAGTTCATAGTTAATACTATTTCCGTTTCCCCTGTGTGTTACTTCTTCTTGCATACTGGGGACCAGTGGATTGTTGTAAGAGCAAGCTACAATCAAGCAATGTAGTTGAGATCATAGAATCATATAATTGTAGTGTTGGAAGGGATGCTGAGGGCCATCTAGTCAAACCTTCTGGCGAATAGATACTCCGTTGTGGCGACCGCAACCTAGAGCCCAGGTGCCATTTGGCACCTAACTTATATATCCGAGTTTCTAACACTGCTTGGCTCCTAAGGATCAATAAAAATGGCACCAGGGGAGCCTCCTTGGGGAGAGCATTCCACAGTCAGGAAGTCGCCACTGAAACAGCCCATTTTTGTGTTGCCCCCTCATGGGAAGCATGGACTATGCCTGATGCTCCAGAATAAGCTTTGAATAATCTGAAGTAATTGTTGAGTGAACCTTGAACCATCTAAATAAATAATATGGGTAGTTTCATAACAGCACCGCCAATGGCATTTCCCCCTTCCTGTGCACTTTTAATAGACACATACATTATATGGATTTCAAGAGTTCTTTAAGAAATCAGTAGCCTTTTTTACCAGTTAAATTTTGTCCTCGTAGGGACCTTGACGTGACAACCATTTGTTATTGACAGGAGTCCAGTGAAAGATTGGAAATAAGTCTGGGCCAAGTGATTCACTCAGCAAGTCATTCATTCATTTTATTTGTATGCTGCTTTCCCACATAAAATTCATTCTCAAAGTGGTTTACAACAAAGGAAACAGGAAAACATTTCAAAACCAAACAGTGCAAAAATAATTTCATAATAGCCCAGCAAAACGACACAGTAGCAAATATAACTACATACAAAAAATAACATTTTGGTACTATAAATATAACAAAATTACATAAACAACGACCAGCATCCAATAGCAAAAATAAAAAGGGAGCCTCTCAGGTTTATTGTGTCACGATGTGCTTGCTTTATATAAAGACATATTGTAGAGTAAATCTGATGCTTAAGTGCTTCTATCTAGTGGTAACAGGTTGCAACTAGAGGAGAGGAAGAGTCTGTGGGAATTGGTCATGAGAGATTTTAAAAGGAAAAAAATAACTTCTGTACCTAGAAAACTTGGTTTGTGTCAAATTGTCCAAAACTTTTGAGTTTAAAAACAAAGAAAGATAGATAGATAGATAGATAGATAGATAGATAGATAGGGTTTCTACTCACTTTTAATTTTCTTTAGAAAGGCTTTGGATCCCACAGCATTTGCAACTAGGTAAAAGTAAAGGACCCCCGGACGGTTAAGTCCAGTCAAAGACGTCTATGAGTTGTGGCACTCATCTTGCTTTCAGACCAAGGGAGCTGTCCGCAGACAGCTTTTCCGGGTCATGTGGCCAGCATGACTAAATGGCTTCTGGCACTACAGAACACCATGGCAAGTACCAGAGCACACGGAAACTCTGTTTACATTACCTTTTTACCTTTACCTATTTACCACTACAGTACCTTGAATATGTTTAAGTGTTTCGCATCTCTAGTTGTTACGCTACTGCTGTGAAGTCTAAAGAAGAATTCAGAACCACTCTGAATTAGACAGCTTATTGCTTTTTTTGTGATCAGAGAAACATTGTATAAAATATGGATGAGTAGCTTCAGCAAAAGAGAGATATAATTTAAATGGAAACCATAATCCAGGGTAAACTGTTTTCTAGATTTGAGTGTATCAGAATGCAAACTGCTGCAATTATTATTTAGTAAAGTGTTCCTAGAGTGCTGTGATTTCTCCCATTTGCAGTTAGTAATATGTTTTTGTTCATCACTGAAGAGAAAACGGAACATTTCCAGCTTTTGCAACTGAATTACAGAGTTAGGAAGAAAGAAGTGTTTTGAATTTGTAGACAAATAAAAGGAAATTCGTTTCAGATTTTACTGCAGCTGTTCACATTGCCTCTTCACTTTAAAGAGCAGGTTGATTTGTAGGCAGTGAGGAATGTGCAGTGAAACCAGAAAGTACAGCTCAAGCTGCCATGCAGTCATGGCATATATGCATGTCATACTGCCTGGACTGAAACCCTACAACATCTGGGAAAGCAATATATTTCTGTAATGTTTTCGTTGAGCTGTTGAAAGCCCACAGATTCAGCAAACTTAAACAGGCGGCACAATGGCTCTGTAGATCTCTTTCACTCCTACCAATATCTTAAACAAGAAAAATGAACATGTCTCTCACGTAATTGAAATTTAGGAGAGGAAACAAGATTTTGGCTTGGATTGTGCTCAGCTAAGTTCTGCTTGAGGTAGAGAAAAGGAGGTGGAAAGGCACTTTTGGCTGATTCCTCTTTTCCCCTGAAAAGTTGAGGATTAGTGGTGTTGGAGACTACATGGGGAAGAGAGAATCAGATAAAATGGTTACCTTGTGGTGGTGATGGTTCTTAATTAAATATCTATATTGCCCTTCATCTGAGGATCACAGGGCAGATTACAATATAAAATGGTTCCTTTGAGAAATGGAAAGAGCCCTTCCCTTTGCAGAGGGGCAAGTTTTGTTCTAACCCTTGTAAATGGCAGATGTTTTTATCAAAGGAAAGTCATTGGTAAAAGTGCAACACGCATGGTATGTTAGTTTCAATTTAAGGTAGAAGAATAACTGCTTATGTTGAAGTGCAAGTTCAAGACTTCAAGGGGAGAATTTTAAAATACAACTGTGTAAGACCATTGCGAGTATGCGAGAAACTTCGAACATGGTTCTTATTTCACATCACATTCATTGTATGATAAGTGAACTTATATCTACTTCTGTTTCCTGTTAATCTTTTATTGTTCCTTTCTACTTACAGGTAGGAGGAGACAAAGAGTACATCGTCCACGTTCTCCAATACTGGAAGAAAAAGATGTCCCTTCTCTTGACTTGCCTAAATCCTCAGAGGACTTAATGGTGCCTAATGAGCATATAATGAATGTTATTGCCATCTATGAGGTACTGCGGAACTTTGGCACTGTCTTGCGACTGTCCCCTTTTCGTTTTGAGGACTTTTGTGCTGCTCTGGTAAGCCAGGAGCAGTGTACACTTATGGCAGAGATGCATATAGTGCTTTTAAAAGCTGTTTTACGTGAAGAAGACACTTCAAATACTACCTTTGGACCTGCTGACCTCAAAGATAGCGTTAATTCCACATTGTATTTCATAGACGGGATGACGTGGCCCGAGGTTCTGCGGGTTTATTGTGAGAGTGACAAGGAATATCATCATGTTCTTCCTTTCCAAGAGGCAGATGACTACCCCTATGGACCCGTTGAGAATAAAATTGAAGTCCTGCAGTTTTTAGTGGATCAGTTTCTTACAACAAACATTGCACGCGAGGAATTAATGTCGGAAGGTGTGATACAATACGATGACCATTGTAGAGTTTGTCACAAACTGGGGGATTTGCTTTGCTGTGAAACTTGCTCAGCTGTGTACCACTTGGAGTGTGTGAAACCACCTCTTGAAGAGGTACCTGAGGATGAATGGCAGTGTGAAGTTTGTGTAGCACATAAGGTGCCTGGTGTAACGGACTGTATTGCTGAAATCCAAAAAAATAAACCATACATTCGACATGAACCTATTGGATACGACAGAAACAGGCGGAAATACTGGTTCCTGAACAGGAGGCTTGTTATGTAAGTAAATGTTCTAAGCACAGTAACAATATTGGTGCACGGTGGATTTTCAAGAAGATGGGATTTTCTTTTATATTGGGCCAAAAATGTGTTTTATATCTCCATGCAATATTAGAGAAATTGCACTGCGGGGGGTGAGGGGCCAATGGCGAATTGAAGTGGCCGTCACTGAAAAATACCAGGCTCCTGGTATCAAAACAAAAGTTAGGGTTTAGAAACATAAGATCTGGTCTGGCAACAGAAAACTTGTGTTATTTTGTTAGCGTTTGTATTTAATGTTTTTTGAATGAACAAGCTTAACAGCAGTATTACTAAAATGACAATTTTTCTATCCCTGAGAGTACTGCTGAATTTTTAGTATTTTGTGAATCCATTCTTTCCTTCTTATCTTGCTCATAACTTACAAATTCAAGCCTAGGCAGTGACTTCATTTAAATCCAAATGCAACATAGCTGCTATGTTGTGATGACCCAAGTAGTAGACCTTAGTGTGCAAAGTCATTTTTTGTAGAGGCATGATTGCAGAACCCTGAGATTCAGAAGGCATCAGAAAAGATTACAAATTGCTGAATATCAGCAAAAGTCCAAGGGCCACATCACTGATTCTTCTAAGAATAAAATTTTAAATACCGTTTATTTTAAGAGTCTCAGTTGGAAAAAGAAATTGCAACTCTGCTGACACCATTATCAGGCAACTAAGCAGCTTTTGGAGCAATGCAATTCTCACACCTCACACCTGATCTCATAAAACGGCAATTTGAAGTACATAGAAGTCAAATAAAATGAGTAAGAAACCCTGCCTGCCACCTGTGCTTCTTTCTGCAAATGGTGTCAGGCTACCGTGGGTGGTGATTCCATCCTGTCTGTAGAGTCATTAATATATTTTTCTGAGGTGATGGTAGGCACTTCAAGGCATTGTAAAAATGCTTTGTTGAGTGCGGGTTTTTTTCCTCATTACCACATGAACTGACCCATGAACTGGAGGTCCCCATCCCTGTGCTAAATCACAGCTTAGTGTAATGTGAATGAACCCAGGCTCTGGGGCTCTCTTGCTCCTCTTCCTCTTTCCCTCCCTCCGGTGTGGCTATGAGGAAATGTTTTTGCTTCCTAATATAGCAGTAAGTTTTATGTACTCCATGGCTGCACAAAACTAAATTCTGTGCAGGCCATCCAAATTATTCTCGCAAGAAAATCTAGATTCTGTAAAATGTATATATTATGCAAATGGACTGAGTTTGTATGATTTCCTTTTAGGTTAAATTAATTTATACTGCATTGGCTTGCTATTTTATAAAATCTATGCTGATTTTGCCAGTTGGGGATGGGTAAGGAATCTGAAGTCCCCTCCCCCCCCCCCCCGCAATCTTTGAAAAATCTTACTCTGCCTTTTCTGGCTTCTGCGATTTCAGCACCATTGCTTTTATACTTTCAAGAAAGTCTTATACATGTGGAAACATCACTTTAAAAAAGAAAGAAAGCAGAAGCTTCCTTCTCAGGAAGGTGAATTTTGTGCCCACTACCAAATTCAGTGTTTTTTCAGTGGCATATAGTCCTGAATTTAACTGACTGGTATTTATAATTTGCCAAAACACAAAAAGTTATTTCAGTTTATTATATAAATTGTACTTAATGCAGTAGTAAATTCTCTTCATTTTGAAAGCGCTATATGACACTCTGTACTAGATGGCAGCTTTCTCAATGCATCTTCATGTAGTAAAAACTCATATATGAGATCATCAGGCATGAAATCTCAGCCTGTATGAGGATTTCCTACTACAGTGGTACCTTGGTTCTTGAACTTAATCCATTCCAGGAGTCCATTCGACTCCCAAAACGGTTTGAAAACCAAGGCACGGCTTTCGATTGGCTGCAGGAGCTTCCTGCACTCAATTGGAAGCCGTGTTGAACATTTGGCTTCTGAAAAATGTTTGTAAACCGGAACACTCACTTCCGGGTTTGCGGCGTTCGGGAGTCAATTTGTTCAGGAGCCAAGCCGTTCAACAAGCAAGGTACCAGTGTACTTCATATTTTGAAGAGTCTTATATGAATCAACCTTTGGACCTTTTTTCAGTGCAAAGTTGCTGTCTTTCTCTGTAAACCCACATCCATTTGTAGGCATGTGATCTTACCACTAATGAGTACAGTAAATTTCTTTTTTTATTCAAACATCTTACACTGGTACTTGAGAAAAGGCACACCATTAAAAAAATTGTAAGCAGCATAGCAGAATGGGCTGGTCTTTGATATGGCCCATTATTGCTTGTTTATAAGTCTGCTATAGCAGTATAGTGTTGAATATAGATAATAAAATTTTAGAGAACAACTCTTTACTTTGTTTCCTACAAGCATATGGCTATCATTGATTTCCAAACAAACTGCATTTAGTCTTAAGAATATGATAGCAAGTAAATTTCAATCCCTGATTTACAAAGCTGGCTTATTTTCAATTACTATAGTTAAAGATGAAGTGCAGTTTAGAGTTCACGTGTAATGCTGAACACTGGCCAATCAAGAATGGAAACGAAAGCTTCTGATTGCCTCCTCGCATCTGTGCCAGTGGAGAAACATACGAATCTGAAGTAGACCCAGGGTGGATCTAAACACGGGGGGGAAATGCTATAAATAAGTCAGAAATTAGATCATTTTAGCAAAAGAAAAAAATCACTATGGAAAACTATGTTTTAAAATTTCCTGCTATCTGACGCCATCTGGCATTGCATGTTTGTAGCGCATTCAATTCGCTGCATCTTTAGTAATGTAGCTGAGTCCCCTTTCTATGTAAAGCCTCAATATCTAAAGATACTGCCTTAAGCCATGTAAGAGGGGCTTGTTGAAAAATTTGTTGTTGTTTTTTACTGAAACATAGTAACAGTTCAGTGACCCAGTGGTAAAACTCAAGTGCCTCATCTTCAAATTTAGGCCAGACTCTTCGGGTGCTCCTGATACTTCTCTTGTTAGAATTCTTTGATATTTTGATTAAGACTGCAGTATAAATCTTTAAAGAGATAATTACCCATAATAAATTTGCAGTGCACGCTAGGGAAATGAACTGGGGGGTCTCCCATATCAAAGTATGAATGGAAAATGCATGTCATCAAACTATTTACTTGCTACTGTATATTTTTCTATATGTACTGTATTCCACTTTTCAGACAAATGCCCCCCCCCCCAAGCTGCTCACATCAGTTAAAAGGGATGACATTGCCATCAGGCTTGCAGGAACACACAAGGAAAGGGAAATGGGAAAGGTAGGAGAGGGAGGTCAGTTGTCTAATACCAGAACACAGTGGTGAGCTATAAGTGGGTGTAAGAGGGGGGAGCGCAGGCTGAGTTTCCTTTGCTGGTATTCTTTATTGAGTACTAACGGGCATTTCTTTTTCCTTTGTCTGATAGACAGGGCCAGAGTGTTCTTTTCCTTTACTTCTGCAGTCCCTGGGCAACTGGCAGTTGTTGCTGTGTTTCTCTGGCAGGTAGTGTGTGGGGAGTAAGCTTCTGAAGCCGCTTCTTTTCTGGCCAATGAATGAGGTCAGCCTGGTCTTTACCATGCTGTGATGTAGATGAAGCAACCTCTCAGGAGCCTTGGTCCCTTGTGCTGGTTTCAGCTCTCCAGTCCCTGGATTGACTCCATACTTGCTACAGGGATGCAGGTGGCGCTGTGGTCTAAACCACTGAGCCTCTTGGGCTTGCCGATTCGAATCTGCATGACAGGGTGAGCTCCTGGTGATCTGTCCCAGCTCCTGACAACCTTGCAGTTTGAAAGCACACCAGTGCAAGTAGATAAATAGGTACCACTGTGGTGGGAAGGTAAATGGCATTTCTGTGCACTCTGGCTTCCCATCACGGTGTTCCATTGTGCCAGAAGCGATGTAGTCATGCTGACCACATGACCCGGGAAGCTGTCTGTAGACAAACACCGGCTCCCTCGACCTGAAAAGCGAGATGAGTGCAGTACCCCATAGTCGACTTAACCGTCCAGGGGTCCTTTGTCTTTACCTTTACCATACTTGCTATCACAAATGATTCAGCAAAAACTACTTTTTTGTGTAGAACATATGCTGCCACCTTGCACCAAATCAGAGCATTAGTCCATCTTGTCCCCAGCATTGTCTGTTTTGAGGGGCAGTGGGTCTCCAGAGTCTCAGGCAGATGGCTTTCCCATCTAAACCTGCTGCCTGATCATTTTTAACATTCAGTTGAGCCTGAGACCCTCTGCATGTGAAGCATGCACTCTGCCACTGAACCCCTGGGCTCCATACCAATTGCACCAGGCAGTCATGCAGACATCTAGATACATGACAAAGAACTAGACACTTTAATTCATATGACTTCATTGTTTGCAGTAAGACATATTGTAGGCTGAGGTGTGCCAGAACTTAAACACTATTTTGTATGCAACATTAGGATTAAGGCCATTGCATATGGTATTTCACAGCTTGTTCTTCCAAGTTTCAGACAGGGTGGAGCAAATCAGGAGTGATTGAGCCATGTGCAGTAACATATTGGTCATTCATAGTAAAGTGGGGTTTGTTGCTTATCATGATGTGTGAACAGAGCCTATGTGCAGCCACATTGGATGTGGTATATTTTTTCCTGGGCCTTCTCCATCCTCTTTCCCACCTTAAGGGCTTTTAAAAATATTCTTTCATCTTTACTCTCATTTCGTTGTACGTACATTTGTTACTTGCTTCTTGGATTTATAAAAAGAAGCAAAGGTCATATAATACTTTTAAATTTTAAAAGTGAATTATTTCCGCAATGCATAGTGTGGATTTGTTAAAGTGGCAGAGCATTATTTTTTCAGACCATATTCTTTTAATTCTTGCTTTGGAGCACCCCCAAAGCTCACCATGATATTGAAAATAATAGAATAGGCGGGGTCAGTCATGACAGCAGATTTCTTCTGGCTACCAAGATTGGCTAAATGTGATGTAAAGTAATCGTGCCTGTACCCAGAGTGCTTGCCCTCCACTTAATGATTCTGATTTGTGTGAAATAGACAGTCACCATATTTTTGCTATACAGTTCCAAGTCATCAATAATCGGACCAGATTAACTGGTTGTACAGAACTTCATGGTGAATAAAACCTATGTTGAGATTTTTCTTAGGTGAGAAGCCACAGAACATCCTGGAAGAAATAATCATTTCTTCGAATGATTCGGTGTCTGATTTTTGAAATTATCATTGAAAATTCCTTTTGTAATGTCATAATACTTTATAGTATTGTACAGTATGGTAAAGAAGCATATTATTTGTGTATTGGAAAGGGAAGAAAAGGTTTGTGCTTTGTGATAATACAATTTTTAAATGTGACAACTCATATTATGCAGTTGAATTATGGAAGAACTGAATTATGTTATAACATTTTTTAGAGTTTGGTAATAGCTGTTTGTGGTAAACTAAAAATACATGCTCAACAGTGAACTTATGATATGAACTCAGTTATTCTTTTCATTCCTGTTTCTTTCCCAGTATATACATATGTTTCATTGCCATTTGTCTCATAAACAATTATTCTAATACTGTCACAGAGAGGAAGATTCAGAGTGTGAGAAAGATAAGAAAATCTGGTACTATAGCACAAAAGTCCAGCTGGCAGAATTAATTGAATGCCTTGACAAAGATTACTGGGAAGCTGATATCTGCAAAACTCTGGAAGAAATGCGTGAAGAAATACATCGGCATATGGATATAACAGAGGACCTTACCAATAAAGCACGGGGTAGCAACAAATCTTTTCTTGCTGCAGCAAATGGTAAGAATCTACAAAACTAATCCTGAATTGCTAACAGCACACAATGGATTATCGAGCGCATTTTGAATTTCTACCTCATTGACGTGTATTCTAGTGAAGAAAGGTTTATGAGGAAAAGGGCATGTCTGTTAAAATTGGGAAGGCCAAGTTCCATGGACTGCATTTATAGTGCCACCGGAATACATATAGCCTTTAGGTACATATTAAACCTGTTAGGCCTTACAGATTTTTTCAGGGAAATGGCAAAGCATTGGTCCAGGGCTACCCTTGTTGCTGCTCCAGAAAAAGCGCTAGCCTATGTAGAAAGTTTAATAGTGCAAAAAACCTGAGAAACTGCAGGGGATCTATATACAGAAGGATGTGAGCGGAAGGTGACTTCTCTGCTCTTTTTCAGGAGGAAACAAATTGAATGGTGTTGGCTGTGGAACTCTCTGTGTGTGGGGGGGGTGTATTTAAAGATAAAATGGTATATTTTTGCTCTTAAGCAAAAGATAAAATGTGATTCTTCCTCTAACACCTGTAGTCTACAGAGCTCTTCCTGATGACTTTAAGCTTGTCTTTTTCACTCCTAAATATAGCTAGCTGTAGTGTGCCTTTGAAAAATAGTCACCAGTATAGTGTTTGTCCATTATCAGTTTCGTTAGTTGATCATAATACCTAGTGGCATTTACAAAACTTCCACTGCTTTATAGAAGAAATAATACTCCAGTCTTAAGTGGGTCAGTATGGGCAAGACCACCTGCTCCATACTTTTTATTCACAACCATCCCTTGGCAGTGTTCTGTTTTGTAGAAGCCGTAGCAAATTTATGTTTCTTTGCAAATGGTTGGATTACTGGCTACATCTAGGCTGGGTGCCTTAAAACAGGGCAACAACTGGAGACATAAACTGAGGACCCTATTTTGCAGTGAGCATCCTTTTGCTTTTGGAGAAACCTGCCTTTTGGAAGAGCGCAGCTTTCTTCTCAAGTCTGCACTTGTTTCAAACCAAATGGATTTCTTGGTGGCGCTAGTATCCGAGTCTAGTTCTAGAGCACTGAAAATATTGCAGCGGATAAATAAATGAGGGCAGGAGCAGGTCAGATTGATTATCATCCTTGTTGGAAGAGTCGCTAACTTGAGGTTTCCATAATCCCACAGCTCAGCCTTATTTTTCAGTCTTTGCATGTTTGGAGCCAGATTAATGTCCAGGATCCACAGATTTGTAGATCTGTTAGGTTACTATATATGCATGTTATCAAAACTTCAATTAATCTGCAGAATCAATAGCAATTAATGCATGTTCTCTGACATCGCTTGTAGAGTTGTAGATTATCCATATTGACTGAGTGATGTACACAAAATTCCATATTTATGTTGTCAATTTGCAATCCCTGCCATTTTTGAGACTATGTATACAGGTAACTTGCAATTTACGTTCATTTAACTTGTGCGTATTCAACTTTACACACTTGGCAAAAAAAAATAAAAGGGGTCTGAGGGTCCAGGGAAGGAAAACTTTGGCAATCCCGTCCGCCATTGCACCCAGTGTGTTTTGACTATACAAGATTTTGGTGTTCCATATTATCCTTGGAACATAACCCTGATGTAAATTGAGAGTCGCCTGTATCAACTTGTAATCTACCTGTTAAATGACTTTTTAAAAATTACATGCGCAAACAGTACTTCACAAATGTCAATTGCACTGTGGACCATGTATCCAATTGTTAGATGGGTCTGTCAGGGGTTAAAATGGATACTTCTGGAGCCCCTAGTCTTTGAACTAGGTGTCTATTGTCCATTTTTTGCTTTAGAAGAGATTCTGGAAGCAATCAGAGCCAGAAAGGGGGAAATACCAGAAGATAAAAGCTCAATAGCTGATGAAACGGAAAAGGAAAAGGCTAGTGTTGAGAATAAAGACAGTACAGATACTGATAATGGCAAAGAGGAACTTTCGAACCAACTGCTGGATGTAAACAAAGAAACGCCACCAGATGAAAGTTCTGAAAAAGGAAGAAAGGAAGGTAAAGACGATACTTGCGAAATTAACATATTTTCTGCAGTAGTGTTTACTCCCGTGTATTTCTTTTTAATAGCATTTATTATTGTATCTTTTGGTCTGTCAACAATTTCAGATTCAGACAGACATTCTTCTCATCACAGAATCAGCTCTCATTCCCCAGTGACATAGTCCAAGCAGTTTTCACAAACTTTCATTTCAGTGTAGGTAAAACTTGGCATCTTTGTATAACCAAGTTTTTAAAACACCTGTTGCACTTTGTTACTCATTTGTTACTGTAGAGCAAACAGATGCTATAGATAAAAGCAACTCCGTGACATCAGCTGTTGGAGGCAACAGCATAGATCCTCCTGCTGGAGAGTCTACTGCTTCTGAAGGAAAAAGTGCAGTCGGAAATGAGTCCGAAATCCTGGATGATAATGAGGCGAACAAGAAGCTGGTGACATCAGAGGCCCTCAAGAATGTTTCAGGTACAGAAAATACCTCTGTAATTTAGAGGAGCATAACAGTTATGCAAATGGAAATCGCCTAAAACCACTTACAGTGTATGCTATTTGTGCTGCTTGTTTTCACTGCCATCCCTGACACTCTGTTTGTCTTCGACTGAATTAATAGTATCCCAGATTTAATGCGGATAGACTTGTGTTGCTGCAGCCTTCAAATATTTGGGATTACTACTATTTATTTGGGATGCGGGTGACGCTGTGGGTTAAACCACAGAGCCTAGGACTTGCCGATCAGAAGGTCGGCGGTTCAAATCCCCACGATGGGGTGAGCTCCCGTTGCTCGGTCCCAGCTCCTGCCAACCTAGCAGTTCAAAAGCACACCAGTGCAAGTAGATAAATAGGTACTGCTCCGGTGGGAAGGTAAACAGCGTTTCCGTGTACTGCTCTGGTTCGCCAGAAGCGGCTTAGTCATGCTGGCCACATGACCCAGAAGCTGTACGCCGGCTCCCTCGGCCAAAAAATCGAGATGAGCGCCACAACCCCAGAGTCGGCCACGACTGGACCTAATGGTCAGGGGTCCCTTTATCTTTACTATTTATTTATTTTGTCCAGCCAAAGCTGTTACGAAAGATAAAATACATAAGACAGAATGAAAGCAGAATAAAATGCATGACATGGTTAAAATAATTATTAAAATCAGGCATCCTGCCCGATAAGAGTTTGATTCCCCCGAATAATTTAACTTATCCCCACAAACTTTTCTCCTTAAAATTGACGCTCTAAAGGCAAAACATGCCACTTTTTGTGAGGTGTAAGAGGACTTGTTCCCTAATAAAAAGTTTATCACATACTCATCTCAATCTCCCAATTGGGAGATTTAAATCTTTGCTCTTGAGTCCTCATAGATTGGGCATACCAGTAAGTAGTAGAGTAAGTCTTCAGGCACATTACCTCCACATGGGCAAACTTTTTCTTCATAGGGGAATTTGAAATTACGTTTCACATGGATTTGCACTGTGTTTATTTTTAGAACTCCCAGAATGCATTGGCTCATATTGTAGTATGGCATGCAAAGGAGTGAGAGCCTCTTGGGCGACAGAGCATGATCCCATGGATGCCATGTTGGGGACATCCCACAGTAAAAATACTTGGTGTAATGGCCGAGATTGTAGAGTATGCGCACAGAAATGAATGTGAATAGATCAGAATCAGTGTCATCGATCTCATGCATGTGAACCTCTTTTGGAAAGATTTGGAGAATGTGTAAATAGGGGGGAAGTATCATTGTATAGAAATGACGGCAATATATTATTTTTATATGATAGATATAAAGACCAGTTGGGAAACTATGTCTCTAGGGTGCTGTTCCACGACTGCAGAAGTTGTGAATACCACAGCAATATGTACAGGCTTATTTGCATGGATGTTTCTTGCCCAACTAGCAGCCTCAGCAGCTTGTTGTGAACCTGTTAGGAGTTGTTTTGTTGCCAGTGATCTGAGAATTTACTGCCTTGAATAATGTGGTATCATCTTCAGTGCTGGCCATCTTGATATTTCATCCTTGATTTCAGGTGACTCATGATAAGATTGATAGCAACAATTCAAAAATAATTGCCCCTCTTTTAGTTCTGTTCATAATTAAAATACTTTTGTTTATTCCTCCCTGTCCTCTTACTCATGTCTCCTACGTATTCCTTTTGTGCATTGGAGACTGTCTTCAGTAATCCTCTCTGTAAGCTCTCCCACCTAACCAAAATATACAGCTCCCTTTATGTAAAACATGTATCTGGGAAAAGTTGTTGTCTAACCCCTCTTCCCATGTAATCGTTTCAGTGTTCAAAGGTTGTGGTTTTTTAATGTGGGTGTGCATACAAATTCAACCTTTCTTCTTCTCCCACTCCCCAATGGGATTTTTCAGAATGTGTAATTTGGTTATTAATCATGTTTGCTAAATGCAGGAATAACAATGTGCTTAGCTGTTGAGCTAAAATAAGAAATATAGTGGCTTTTTAGAAGAAGGTGCACGTAATTAAAATATATACAACACCTGTTGACTTAAATTCAGAAATAAATTATCATTTATATTCTCATACTATTGATGTTTCAGCACCTTTTGATTTCAAGATGTTCATTTTGCATTTTAAAGTCCCCTTCAGGTAATACTACATACATAAATAGTTCCTATCTTTCACAGATGAAACTGCTAAGATGGTTCCCAGCCTGAACGTTGGTCCTTCCACTGAAGCACTTTTGTCTGATCCAGAAAACAGCTGTAGCAATGTACTAAATTCCATGCAGGATGAATCAATGAAGGCTTCTGATGAAATGGAAAATATTGAAGGAGGATCCCAGAGCTCAGAGGAGCTAGGTAAAAATAAAGCAGTCTTTTTAGATTAGCTCAGGCATAGACAAACTCGACCCTCCAGATGTTTTGAGACTACAGTTCCCATCATCCCTGACCACTGGTCCTGTTAGCTAAGGGTTAGATGGGGTTGTAGTCCCAAAACATCTGGAGGGCTGAGTTTGCCTATGCCTGGAGTAGCTGATTGCTGCTCCTAAAATGACACTTTTCAGCAATATCTGTACTAATTGGCCTTTCTGTCTCCTGTTTAAGTGGGTGGTTTGTTTTGGTTTTTGACAGGGGATAGATCTAACAGTGAACGAAGTGAATCTCCAAACACTGGAAGAGGCACGCCGGGTTCAACACGGATGGTCACCAGGTTACGAAATCCGGATAGCAAACTCAGCCAGCTGAAAAGTCAGCAAGTTGCTGCTGCTGCACATGAAGCAAATAAGCTATTTAAAGAAGGCAAAGAGGTTTGTGTTAATTTTGCAGACTTTTTACTGCAGACATACTCCTGTTCACGGAAAGCAAAATGAAGGTGGTCACCTGGTGGCTTCTACTGGGTGGCGAAAACTAACAGCACAATCTTATTCATGGCTATTCAAAAGTCAGCTCTATTGATTTTAACAGAACCTACTCCTGGGTATAAGTAGAGTTTGTTTCTTTAGGAAAATCAACTTTGAAGACAAGTTTATCCTTAGCCTAAGTTCTTACAGTCTGAGCCTATTTCATCCTGTGCACATATTTATAGATTAAGAGCTACATTTTCTAATCCTCGCCATTACATTTCCTAAAGATAACAGGGATTGGGCTAACACTAAAATCTAAGACCAAAGATTGTAATTTTTAAAAATTTGTGTGCATTTTGTTTTTTATTTCAATAAGGTCCTTGTGGTTAATTCCCAAGGAGAAATCTCCCGACTGAACACGAAGAAAGAAATAGTGATGAAAGGAAACATCAGCAATTATTTCAAACTAGGCCAAGAAGGGAAGTACCGTGTGTACCACAATCAATATGCCACCAATTCTTTTGCTTTGAACAAGCATCAACACCGGGAAGATCATGACAAGAGGCGACACCTCTCTCACAAATTTTGTCTGAGTCCTGCTGGAGAGTTCAAATGGAATGGCTCTGTCCACGGGTCAAAGGTTCTCACGATATCCACCCTGAGATTAACAATAATTCAGCTAGAGAACAACATCCCATCCTCATTCCTTCACCCCAACTGGGCTTCACACAGGTGAATATAGTTGTGATTTTCATCATTTTTTATGTAGTGGTTTTAAAAATTATATAGGTTGGATCCAGACTTGCTCGTGTATGAACCATTTGTGCAGGAACCTGCAGAAGAGCTTCCCTGCTGGTGGAAGCAGTGGGGGGAGTGGCACAGTAGTTTTTACCTATTGCTCGTTTCCCTCAGGAACACTTTCCATGCTGTCTGCAGGCTTTTCAGGGGCACAGGTTGCTACATGAGAAGCTGGAATTTGCAAAATAAATAAATGCCCTGCTCCCTTTTTCTGAGCATAAGTTAGTATACAGCTTGTAAGTTAGTATAAGTTAAGCACCATCAACTTGCAGGGTAGCTGAAGAACATGAGTTTACAGTAAAAGTTGACAGGGTGGAAATGGAAAAAAAGAAGGGAAATTGATGTAGTTGTCTCAGTTGCATGCACATAGGCTTTGTTGCAGGCTGAATTACAGTGGTACCTCGGGTTACATATGCTTCAGGTTACATACGCTTCAGGTTACAGACTCCGCTAACCCAGAAATAGTGCTTCAGGTTAAGAACTTTGCTTCAGGATGAGAACAGAAATCGGGCTCCGGCAGCGCGGCAGCAGCAGGAGGCCCCATTAGCTAAAGTGGTCTTCAGGTTAAGAACAGTTTCAGGTTAAGTACGGACCTCCAGAACAAATTAAGTACTTAACCCGAGGTACCACTGTAGTGTGTTGTGCCATACGTTCCATAGAAACACTATTAGGAGGGATTTTAATGAAGAGAGGTAGTGTTTTATAATATATAATATATAATTTATACCTCGCCCATCTGGCTGGGTTTCCCCTGCCACTCTGGGCAGTTTTGTTTTAAAGTATGCTATTGACGTAGCATTTATCCTACTGTATGCAGCGAATGCATTGCTGATAATATTTTTGTCACCTGTAGGTCTAATTGGATCAAGGCTGTGCAGATGTGTAGTAAACCTAGAGAATTTGCATTGGCTTTAGCCATATTGGAATGTGCAATCAAGCCAGTTGTCATGCTGCCAATCTGGAGGGAGTCCTTGGGACACACCAGGTAAGATGTCTGAATGAGTGAAAAACATAAGTCTACATTAAAATATGTTCAAGTACTGTACTGGAGAATTTAACACCATTATAAAAAAACTCAGTCAGGAGCACTGAAAATTCACGGGTGCAGTTTTTGCAATATGTTCGCCCCCTGGAAGTTGCCTCATGTCATTTAATCTCAGCAATGGAAAAACTACTTTGAAAGTTCAACAACAGTGTACTTTAAATGCTCTTGACTCAACTGCATTCGCTGTTTGTACAGCAGCGTGCAGCTGTTTGTGTATCTGTAGTATAACTGGCCCAAAAGAATGTGTATCTTGCGATTAGGTTGCGCAGAATGACAGCTATTGAAAGAGAAGAAAAGGAAAAAGTGAAAAAGAAGGAAAGAAAACAAGAGGAAGAAGAAACCATGCAGCAAGCAACATGGGTGAAATACACATTTCCTATCAAACATCAGGTACAGTTTCTGCATAGTAATCTTAAGTAAATGTTTTTAGCAGATTTCTGCTCTTCCTTTATTAAATTTAAAAGGCTGTATGGGGTGGGGGTGGGTTTTTTTTTAACATGGTGAGTAATAGGATCGATGAAAAGAGAGAACTTGAGACTGATTCGTGTCTTGGCCATTGTTTAATTGGATAATAATCCATGATGGATTGTAATCTTACTCTGGTGATAGAAGAGAGATTTCACCAAACATCTTTGATACTGTATGTGCATAGGATGTGATTTACATATCCCAGTTCCAAGTGTAAGAGAAATTTGAGACAGGTCAAGATCCCGTGTACTCCATCTATTCAATGAAGATGATTTCCTTTTCCTTCTAGCCCCATGACAAAAAAGCCTAAAAACAAAATATAGTAGCATTTATCTATTAAGAGTTATCCATAACAATCACTAAGAAGTCTATGTGGAACCCTTTGATAAGTCCTTCTAAAAAAAAAAAAAGGCCCGAGTAGCTGCATAGATGCATCCCTAGTATTCTTTGTGTGGAAATCGGGGTTCTAGGAACCCAACTGGTCATGGCAAATCTGCATCCCTAAAATGTTGTTGCTTTTCTATGTGCATTTCTGTTGGGAGCAGAGGCTATTTCTAGTAGTGTGCTCAGTCCTTTTTCATGCATTTATGTTGCAGATCTGTGTTGTAGCCATTCCTGCAGCATTTGTTGAAAAGCCATCTTTTATTTTTGTAACTGTATATAAGCTTTTAAAGTAAATTTATTATTTTAAAATGTGTCTGTAATGCTTTACAGGTTTGGAAACAAAAAGGAGAAGAATATAGAGTAACAGGGTATGGTGGATGGATCTGGATTAGTAAAACTCATGTTCATAGATTTGTACCAAGATTACCAGGAAATACTAATGTCAATTACAGGAAATTACTACCAGGTGAGTGTAAAATATCTTTGCTTTGAAATAATTTTTACTGTTAGTTACTGCATCATAAACAGGCCTTCTCAGCACTATAGTCAAACCTCAGTTCTCGAACAGCTCCGTTTTTTAACATTTTGGGATAAATGCATTCATGTATTGCTTCATTCTAAGTTTTGAGTATTTTATTGTAAGGATTTTGCCTTTTTAATTACAGTTATATTTCTGAGTTCAAAATTCTGTGTTTTGGTGCAAGAATCAATACATTTGAATACTTTTGTTATACACCGTAACTTAATGCTCTCTTTAATGCATGCACCCTGAGAGTTTGAAAAGGTGGCATAGAAATCTTATAAGTAAATATACGTGTCCTTTTTTAATCAGCAAAAAGTGAAACTACTACCATCCCAGAAAAACAGCGTGAACTGGATAAAAGGAAAACTCCAGCAAAAGTGAAGGTCGAGCATGGTTCTTCGAAAGAAAAGATAAAATACTTCCGTGAGCCACACAAGAAGGACCAAAAAGAAACTGAAAATTCCGAGACCACAAAGAGAGCTCAAACCAAGGAAGAAAATGAACCGCATGAAGAAAAATCTGAAATCAAACATTTTGAAAAATCAGTTCATGCAAATGAAGGTATTAAGCATTTAAGGCATATGGGTGGGTGGGTGAGTATTTAGGTTTACATGGATTAATTCTGTTTAGCAGAATGTATGCGTGCTTATGTAAATCTGAGAACAATCAGGGGGGCGCATTAAAAAAAAATTGAAACTGTGAATGTCAGACACTAAAGACCCATTGACACATTCACCTGCACACATATGGAAGCCACTTCCCGTTGCTGTGGTCACACACAGTTGTGGTATGTATGAATGGAACCACGTGGGTTAGGTGAAACAGGTCGGAAAGACCCAGTAATTACCAAAATGTCTTACTGAATTTAAATTGTTCTTCACAGAGAAGAAAGAAATTGGTGAAGGTGATAAAGACATCAAGGAAGAATCTATGGAGGTTGATGAAGTGAAAGTGGATACCTCCACAAAATATGAGGAAGCCCCAGTCAGTGTGGATTTAATCAACGTCAGCGAGAGTTTCCACTTAAGGACATTTTACAAAAGGAAAGTAAAATCATCAAAACTAGATGGACTGCTTGAAAGGAGAGTAAAACAGTTTACACTTGAGGAAAAGCAGCGACTAGAAAGAATAAAGCTCAAATCTGGTTCTAACTCTTCAGGTTGTAAATTGTTGAGACAACAGGAGAGTGAGGATGACCTACAGTTACCTAAAGCAGGAGATGAGAAGCAAGTAGATTTGACATCCCAAAGCAGAATTGATACTTCAGACACAAATCAAACGGAAGATCCTGTTAAAGACCGCTTGTCACCTAGCAATCGCCACTTTACCAAAACCAGTGAATCAGTCCAATCTTTGCCTTGCTTGAATAGGCTTTTAGAGGGAGAAGCAGGTGCAACTTCAGTTCAGTGTCCAGATGCTCAAAGTTTGAAAGCAAAAGATAGTAATGAAAGTGTTTCTGAATCCATGGATACGGATAACCCTCAAGTGCAGAGTAAGGAGAAAAGCACTGACTGTTTGAAAACAGAAGACTCTAAACCAGTAGAAAACAAAGAAACAACAACATGTGGTATCTTAGAGGACAACGCAAAATGTTTGAAGCAAGCAAATACTGAGTCTCAGTGCGGAAATGTTATTCGGCCAATGGTAACTGAAAGCAGCTGTGAAGGAGACACTTCATCTTCAACTGAGATAGGAAATGAAGCGTTAACATCTGAAAAACATGACTGTGATTCTGCAGAAGCTCGTAGGTTAGAAAATCATCCCAGCATGGTATCTCTGCAAGCAAAAGAGAGTCTTGTGAAAAACATTGCAGATGCGTCTGAACCCAAAATTGCATTAAATCCAAAGCAGACTCTCGGGGGCCTAAAATCGCTGCATACTGAGCTAATTTCAGAAAAGGCATTTGAAGCCCAAATTCCTGACGTGATTGGAGAAAATATTATTGATGAGGTGGTGAAGACTAAAATCACTGAAACAAATGGTGAAAAGCAAGACCAGGAGAAGTGTGTCCCACCGAGTTCCATAAACAAGTGTTTTGATCAGATTAAGAGTATTGCTGACAAAAATAATAATAAAAACGGGGAATTGAATACACAAACGGAAAAGGGGAAGCCAGCAGCATTTCAGATTAATGGAAAAGACACTGATTTTAAAGTATTACCTAATGAAGAGTGCTTAAAGAGAGAGACACTTGCACAAACCGAGAGCGGCGTTGACTCGAAAATCAATTATATTAGCAAAAGCAACCCTCTGGTCAAATCATTTTCTTCTAACGAATCTCTAAAACCATTTATGAATGGTGATATTGCAGTGGAAGATGCAAATGATAATTTGATCAGTAAGTTGGGTGTACAGAGTTCTGTGGGTGGTGATTCTAGAGAGAATGATATGTCTCAGTCTAATCAAAGTACTGGAAGAAAGCAGTGTTCTCCTGAAAGGTCTAGTCTTGTTGATGACACATCCATCACATCTCTCCATTCCTCCAGTGAAAACAATATATATAATGAAGCCGAATGCATGGAGATTGAACCACCTTGTGTTACGAAAACTGCTCCATCACCTGTAATTTCCTGTGAGGAATCTAGCTTGAGTAATGACTTTGCTGATCAGAATGGATTACCGATAAGCAACAAAATCGAAAGCGTCAACGGAGAAAGTGTAGTAAAAGCCGTTGTTACGGAAGTGACCACCACGTCAACTGTTTCTACGGAATCCAAAACTACTTATAAAGTATCAGGATTGTCAGCCATCAAGGAAGATAGAGAAAGTGGGGTATCATCCATGGAAAACTGTTCTGTATCCACTGTAACCACCACCACCACCACAACGACCACTGTAAGAAAACTTACCGCTCCCACTACAGATAGCAATACTGATGTCATTTCCGTAAAGGAGCACAGCAAAACTGTGGTAACAGCAACAGTGACTGATTCCTTGACTACTGCAGCGGGAACCTTGGTGACTTCTATGACAGTCAGCAAGGAATATTCCACAAGGGACAAAGTGAAGCTCATGAAATTTTCAAGGCCGAAAAAAACTCGTTCTGGAACAGCCTTGCCATCTTACCGGAAGTTTGTTACCAAAAGCAGTAAAAAGAGCATATTTGTTTTGCCCAATGACGACTTGAAGAAGCTAGCAAGAAGAGGAGGGATCAGAGAGGTTCCCTGTTTCAACTATACTGCGAAGCCTGCTTTGGATATTTGGCCATATCCATCCCCGAGACCAACGTTTGGTATCACTTGGAGGTACAGTGCTAACAGCTCTTTAAAATCATTTGGGTGGGAGAACATGTCTTCGTACAAATGGTAGGCGTGTTATAATCCAGCATGAAAATTCGGCACTTCAGGTGTTCTCGCTTTTATAACATCATGGTGTCCCATTGCTCCCGAAGTGGTTTAGTCATGCTGGCTGCATGACCCGCAAAGCTGTCTGCGGACAGACACCAGCTCCCTCGGCCTGAAAAGTGAGATGAGCCCCATAGTCACCTTTGACTGGACTTCACCATCCAGGGGTCCTTTACCTTTACCTTTATTAAATAGGCTTTTGTTTAACCCTCATTTTGTCAGTATTTAGAGATGGGATTTTCAAAAAGAACAACCATGGTTCATACCATAGCAATATGCCACTCGCCTAGTCTGGAGCTTGACGATACCTTGGTGATTTCCAAAATGGCAGTTTTAAAATAGAAAACACTAACTAACAAAACAACAAAATAAAATAAAATATCAAGGCATCCAAGATTATTCAGCTTGCTTTACTTGAGTAAGGATTTTTTAATTGCACACCCTTGTTTCATGTACAGTTTTTTTCAGTTGGTTAAGAGCACTAGTATCTAGTAGTTTATCATACTTGGTTTGAAATTGTCAGCTAGTGTCCTCTACACATTTTGTATGTTACCTTCCTTTATAATATTGATGTAGGTGTAGGAAAACATTTGGGTAAGATCCAGTGGTATCCATCTGCCAACAGATATTATTATTATTTAGTTATGTATTTTGCAGAAAAAGTGTTGATACCACACATCGGATGGAATACTGCTGTTTACAATTTTTCCTTTGGGTGAGACTCCCTGTGCTACTATTGCCCAAAATTTTCTATCGTCTTGCGATTTAATCGCCTTATCAAGTGCCTCCCATTGTTCCTTCCTATATAGGGATTTCTTGAGTTTTAAGGTGTTTTTATAGTAAGAGCGCCATCTGTGGAAATTCACCATAGATGACAGAGTCCTCTCCTGTTTTACCTTGTTTTGTTGTTTCCTAAGCAGGGATCTTAGCTTCCGGCAGTCTTTATCAAACCAGACCCCCCATTTGTTATGTTGTTTGGGAGGCCTGGTGTTTATAAGAAATGGGAAAAGAGACTCTGAGACCCGCTGATATAGTGAAAAAGGATCAAAGTTAGGTAAAACTGGTCTCTCAGAACCAATAAATCTGGAGAGTGCAGGTGATGTTTAATTTTAAGCTCCAGCTCGCTGTTCCATTTACGCCTGCGTGGGGCCAATTGCATGAAGTTGGATGTTACCCAATACCTACATATTTATAGGAAAAAGTCAGCTATTATGTGGACCTCTGTTTCAGAAATATTTTGGACCTGTTTGGTTCATTCTAAAAACTTGCATAGAGCAAGATCCAATATATGATAGCACAGGCCTGTATAATGAGTACCACAGATTTTTGTAATTTATATGAAAATACACTTCACTTTCAGCTGTAAAATAAGAAGCTTTGCCTTATCTCTGAGAACGATGGCATTTAGACCAGCTGCTTTGTGAAATTAGAAGTGATTTACATGACTTCCTTTATTGTTATTTTTCTAGATACCGACTGCAAACTGTAAAATCTTTGGCAGGGGTTAGCCTTATGTTGAGGTTACTCTGGGCATGTCTGAAATGGGATGACATGGCTGCTAAACCCCCACCTGGTGGAGGAACTACACGTACAGGTAGATATTTTAGGAATAGTTAAATTTGCTAATTTATAAAAACATTGCTGGTTAAATATTATTTCAGAACTTGTAGTACGCATTATAAACTAGAGTCTTTTGAAGCAAAAAGGTTTGTTTTTGTTTTTTGTTTTTTTCCTGAGAAAGTTTATCACGGATGGATCCATGATAACCTCTGTCATATTCACTAGACCCGTCTCAGTCTGGTTTCCAGTTTGGCACTGAAATTTCCTTCCTCCTAAGCAATCTTCATCAGGAGATTTGGGGAGGGTGAGGTCTGGCTATGCTGATTATCCCCTTGGAATCATTTGAGATGAGAACTGGAGTCATTGTATTTCACTGGTTCCATTCCTTCCTGGCAATATTCCCTTCCAACTCTACAATTCCATGATTCTGTGATTCCACGTGGTATGGGTGTCTTTAAGTGGAACAAGGAATGTAAGGCACATTGAGCCCAGATTCAGATGTAACATTTCCAGTCGACCAAACTATGGGTTGTATCCAGTGAAGTCATCCTGTTAGTGCAAGGACTTCCACCTTTGCAACAGTACTTCCTCTCTCTTTGCCCCCCCCCCCCGTTTGCTCTGAAGGGTTGGAGGAAACCCAAAACTGATTTTGGGGGGCACAGCTGGTATGCAACGAGAGGTAAAAAATGTTGCATTGTGCAGGTGGCAGTCCTTGCACTGTCAGGACAACATCATTGGATACATTGGACACAAGCTCAAATGCTCCTTCTATCTGTACCTGATTACAGGGGAGACTTCCTGCTTTATTAAACCACAGTTACTTTGAGGTCTAAACCAGGAAACTGTGTTTTAGCATTCTCTACAAACAAATATCAAAATGTGTTTTGCAGTCCTGATTTACAAAGAGTCTTAAACCAGCTACCTGTGTCAGGCATCATGGGGACACTGTAGTTTAGCAGACTGGAAAGTTTTCTCTTTCTAATTATAGAATAATAAGTTATAACTGAAAATAAATCTGGACTGTTTTTTAACAAAATGCCAATATTTCCATCATGTTATTTGAGAATAAGTTGTTCCAGAATTTGTGGAGAAACATTTCTTACTAGACTTGCAATTGAAACTTTTGAAATGAATGTTTGTAGACACATCGGAAACGGAAATAACAACAACTGAAATAATCAAGCGAAGAGATGTTGGACCATATGGAATTCGATCGGAGTACTGTGTACGGAAAATTATTTGTCCGATTGGTGTTCCAGAGGCCCCCAAAGGTAAGCATGAATATAAAATTCCCAAGTTACTTATAGAGGAGTATGTGAATTTAGGGGGACACTATCAGATACTTAAACTGAATATTAATTTGCCTTCTGTTCCTGCAGAAACTCCTACGCCTCAGAGGAAAGGGCTTCGGTCAAGTGCATTGCGACCCAAAAGGCCAGAAACTCCAAAACAAACAGGCCCTGTTATAATTGAAACCTGGGTAGCGGAGGAGGAATTAGAACTATGGGAAATAAAAGCATTTTCTGAAAGGTAATCTAATAGCTTAAAATCAAGTTCTTTGACTTGCTTTTTGAACGTATTTAGATGTGTAAATATCCTGTTGGGTGTGGATTTAATATCTAAAATAGCAAGTTTAAAGCTGCAAAATTATTTTGAACTATGTGTGCACTCTAGTAAGTAGAAACAAAAGTACACTTGACACCATCAAATAGATATACCTTCCGTTGGCATGCCCTGCTGTCAGTTAATGGAAAACTGGGAAACCAGAGATATGAAGCCAAATATTTGGTTGGCTAATTGCAATCAGTATGTGAATTTGAAACACTTAAGGGTGGTATCTATTGTTGAGCAAGCGGAAGACCACTCCCCCTCCATGACTTTCTACCCAAAAAGCCTCTCTAGGAGATTGGGAGAACCTGACATTTTGGGTGATGCAGTGCGGGCAGAGGAAAAGGGAGAAATGTGCTGCGCAAACTTGCCTTCTGTTTGTGCGACATCGGATACGACTCCCAACACTTTAAACCATGCAGTCCTCTTTTTGTTCCCCAGCCCCAAAAGTATTGAAACTGGACAGAGATGTCATGAAGCTGACGGAAGCAGGGGTAAAAGCAAAAGGAGTAGAGAGACCAGGGAGGGAATGAGTAGGAAACAGTATGCAAAACAGCTAGAGAAACTGTTTCCTACTCATTCCCTCCCTGGTCTCTCTATTCCTTTTGCTTTTACCCCTGCTTTTGTCAGCTTCATGACATCTCTGTCCAGCTTCAATATTTTTAGCTTTCTACATAATCAGTACACCTACTTTCTGATTTCTCTTTAAACTCAACTTCTTAAACTTCAACCTTTCTTGTCTCATTATGGCAACAGTGCTGTGTGTGCTTACCTTATATGTTTTTCCTGGTTTCTGTTGCAACTTGGGCTCCAGTTTTCTTCACATCAGGCCTCTTTATTAACATTTATTCCTGCCAGCCACCCGGTGCATGCTCAGTATATTCCATCTGGGCTTCCTCCTCCCCCAGCACACACACACTCTTTTTGGACCATGCACCCACCCCTTTACCTTTTTTGCTTATCCACACCGTTCTAACTATGTCTCCTTTCAGATTTAAGCTCAGTCAGTTCTCACTGAAGCTCCCTGGGATGCTCCACAGGAGAAAGAGGAGGGAGGTATTTTTGCCAATTCAGGAGACCCTCTAGAAAATATTGTGGAAGGTGGTCTGGTGGCTGCAGGGAAAGGGGGAAATAAAATGAAAATCACCCTCTTCTCCCCTTCATTGCAAGCCTTTGCTGATTCTCAGTCTCTTCTGCAAACTTGCCTTCAACTCTGGATCCAACCCATAGAGTTTCTCTTGTAAAAGTGCATAAACTGTGAGAATGTTCATGGGAGCTGCTTCTCATTAAACTGACAGAAGGTGACAGCCAGATTTAAGAAAGTTCACACATAAGCAGGCCTATATTCAACAGGGCGGCACTAGAAAATTTCTGGAAATTAGATGTAGCATTTCAGTAACACTGAGAATTGGTTCCTATCACATGAAATGGGCTGTTGGTATAAAATGCATGTTTTGTAGTAATTTGCAATGCCCAGTAGTGATTTTCTGTTCATCTCTTTGACAGAGTGGAGAAGGAAAAGGCACAAGCAGTTGAGCAACAGGCTAAGGTTAGTGAACAGAAGAAGGCTGAGGAATTCAAGGCCCAAATGGAGGCTCAACTAAAACAACAGCGATTGGCTGCCCAGCAGGTGGGGTAGCTCTTGGTAGTCCCGCCTGTTGAAGTTTGCATTGCTTGCATTTGTGCATCCTAAAATAAACATGGAAGTGTCTCTTTCTTACACAGAATTGTTCAAATGTTTTCATTTGAGTAAATATTTCCATATCCCTAGCAGAAAAACTACATTGTGATACTAAAATTAATCATTTGATGTGCTCTTAATATTACACATACAGTGGGAATTTGATTCTCTCCTTCAGGGTTGTGTTTCAGTCTTACAAAAGTGTCAGGGTCGATGTTGCTAAGATACCTAAATAACCTAGATCTCGTGGAAGTAAGGTTTGACATCCTGCCAAGTACAGAATCGGAGACGCTTCCATGTTGGAATGAAAACTAAATTATTAATTTGTATAAATCAGTATTTTAAAAAGTGGATACACCTTCAGTCTCCTAATTCTGACGCATGCATGCAGTCATAAAAATCTGTAACTTTTCCTGTTTTCCCAGTAAAGAATGGTGTCACCACTGCAAAGTTCTTTCAATACTTATTCTTCTTTCTAAACATGTCATTCATTATTTATTTTTTGGAAAACTTATGTCTATCTCAACAAAATGTCCACTCAGGGTAGCTAATGATGAATTAAGATGCAACCCTGTTTGTTTGTTTATTTATTTTGCTTGCTTGCTTGATATATTTTAGTACATTTGACTTTCAAAACAAAAGACGTTATAATAAAAACTAAACCCACATTAATACAAAAATAAGACAGATGAAAAGGGTAGCACCCACGGAGGGAAGGCAACTGAAAAATGTCTACCAAAATAATACTTTCTTCAGTGACTGCTTAAAATTTCTTAATGACAAAGCCATTCTTTCTGTTTTAGATAGCTGATACAATGCCACTCCAGTTAAAAAGGGGGAAAAACCCAACCAATTCCCCTTTTCTCTAAAAATGTGTTATTTTTATAGCAAATCACTGTGTATATGAGGGGCATGTAACAAAATAGAAATACAACCAACCACTGTAGTGATTACAGCTATTCAGACTGTTAAAAACCACTTAATAATGAGAATGAAGATAATATTTCTTTCAGATATTTAGTCTTCCTTAAATTGATTTGGTTAATGTTTAGTTATGAACCACCTTTCTATACATTATTAAACATTAAATAATGTAATCAGAAAAGGCTATTTACTTGAAGTGAAGTTTTGAAAGCATTGCTTTATATGGGTTGGTTTTCTGTTAATATAACCTGGCCTTCCCCCCTGCCAAAAAAAAATTTAAACACAAACCCTGTACAACACATTTTAAAATAAGGTGGAATTCAGCATCATTCTAAGGCAAACAGTGTCTGTGCAAGCATATCAGCTTCACATACGGAACAACCTTCCCCTGCATGCTGTTCTGGGTGCTCTCCCAACCCAACCCCAATTTTCAGGGTGCAGGATTTCTTACGTGAAATCCTAAAGCAGATCAGTATTATTACCACTTACAGGTTACAAATGACAAGAGCGGAACACCCCCTAGCGGTCGTAGCAAGAGGAGAGATTCAAAGCAAAGGCAACCTGCTTGGTAGCTCCGTCTCATAGCTGCTACGGTACACCAGATCCAGTCTAGTCAGACTTTCAGCAGATAATAGCTTGGCACTTGTGAACACTTGTTCTTTGGAAGCCTTCCTATTGCTAGCTCTGTCTGCACATACAGTGGCATCTCACTTTTGAAAATTCTTGCTTTTGAAATGACTTTCACGCGAAGCACGTGGTACAGACATACACCTACTTGCAAGTCCGGCTGTGTTTAACGTGACTTCCTTTCCAATGAGCATTCATAAGATCACAACAGCCTTAGTGTGCTTTTTTAACATAGGGTGAGAGGGCTGATATTGTAGAGCGGACTAGTGGTAGCTTTTCTTCATTTTACCCCTCTGCTTAACTTCTTTAGAAGCGACTGGAGCAACAGAAGCAGTTGCCTGCCGTGTGTGGCGCCGCTACAGCTACAACTACCAGCGGTACGGCAACCACCGTCTCCACTCCTCAGAAAGTTATGGTTGGCCCATTGCCACGCTCTATTCCCAGTGGAACCAAAGTGGTGCTTGCTACTAAAGTGGGATCTCCAGCTACAGTAACATTCCAGCAGAACAAGAACTTTCACCAGACTTTTGCTACCTGGGTTAAACAAGGCCAGTCTTCATCAGGTAAATGAGTTAGTTTAAAAAAAAAAAAAAGACGGAGAATCTTCACCCTTTAAAAACAAAACACATATAAACAAATTTTTACTTGTACTATTAGAGGTGGTTCATATGCCCAGGCATTTCTTAGCCATGATCTCCAATGGGATAGGGGACTGCCGAAAAGCTCGCAGCTGGGAAGCAGTCACACAAAGTATTTAAAACCTAATTGATGCTCTCTTCAGCTACATCCTTGAACTGGGAAGAAAGACTTTTTTCTGTTAAAAGCTGTAGTTGTGGGTTAACACATTTGTCAATATGGGGTATGGGGTGTGCCTCAACTGCTTTATAAGGGCATAAACTGGTTTAGGCCAAGGCTCATTCATTGAGCCTAGCACCTCAAGAGAACAGTCACGTTTCCCAGCGAAGCTCAAAGCAATGCATGGTCGTGATGGGGAAAGCTTACCCCTATATTCTGATACTCAGAAAGGTATGTTGCCTCTGTCATAAAGGTTTGAAATAGCTGTCATGGCTAGCAGCAGTTTATAGATTTAATTCATGTAAGGATGTCACCATTCCTTGTGGTAATGAATTGAGTTGCGTGAAGCAGCCCTTCTGTTTCATCTGTCCTGAAAATTTTCACTGGGCGAACTGAAGTACTGTAAAGATGGGGCTTGTTTTTTTAAAGAAGCATTTCTTTATCCACTGTTGTGACCATTCAAGATTTTATAATCTTTATAAGAAAGTGCCAGCTCTTAAGACCTTTCCTTGTCGAAGAGACATTATTTAGAGCACACAGCATTTTAAATGAAACCATGCCATAGGTTTCTACAGTGCTGCGATGATACTTGCTGTTAGTGGCCTGTCTCGAGAAAACAGAAACTGACCGCCATTCCTGTTTTGTTAGCCACAAGCACAACTGCTACATCGGCAACAACTATTTCCAGCAGTGGTCAGACTTTCCAGATTGCAAGCAGCCCAGTGACTATGGCAGGCAAGGTGATAACAAAGCTGCCTCTACCAGCAAATAGCAAGATAGTTGCTGTTAACGTCCCAGCCACTCAAGGAGGTAGGAGAACGCCATTGCAGTTTGAACTCTTTCTTTCTTGCTCATTCCATTTATGAATCGCTTTTTCATAAAGCATCACAAAGCGATTTCAACAATGAAAACATCAAAACATGCATGCAAATGCAAACTGGAATTATAAATAAATAAATACCCGCTTAAAATACTTTTTAGAAAAAGGAGGTCTTCAGCAGGGGCCAAAAAGACAATAGAGACAGTGCCTGTCTGGTATGTAATGCAAGAAGGTTCCAAAGGCATATTTTCATAGGAAAATTGAGTGGTCACATTTCTAGCTTTTTAAAGTTTCTCCAGTGGGAATTTGTTCCTGTTTGAAATTATCTATCTTTGATATCCCTTTGCTGACCTACATAATGTTCCACATTATCAGCTTTTGAAGACTTTAGTGAAAAAAACTACTCTCGAGCTTAATAGAAGGGCTGCATATGCCTTTCAGTATGTTGGGAAATGGTTATATTAGAGAGTTCCCAGGCTTTTACTTTTATTGCCGTTGACCATGGAAAGGCTTTGCTGGTTGAGTACACTGTGTTGCAGCAGTTCCACGCCTACTTTCAGGACTATCTTTGACGGCATGCTAGTTAATACCAGTACGAAACTGAACAGAGGTGTTAGCTGGGGATTTGGAGCACCGCGTGCCAAATACGCAGTTGACACCCAGCAGGCTCACTTGCTTGCACTTTCTCTCCCCCCCCCCCAAAAAAAATCCATCTGAATTGGGAGAAGCTGTGAAAGTGCTGGACCAGTACCTGGAGACATGATTGGCTGAATGTGGGCTGACCAACTGAATCCTGATAAGATGGAGGTGCTATGGGAAGTTAGTTCCCAAGTTCAGGAATTTGGAAGGCAAGGCAGTTCTGGGTGATATAGCACCCTGAAGGGATGGGTACTTCTCAGTTCTAAGATAACACTCGGTGCACAGGTAGCTTCAGTGGCCAATCCAACCAAATACTGCACTATACCTGTGTGCTAGTGGGCTCAATTCAAGTGGTTCTAGTGGTGTACAAAGCCCTAAAAGGCTTTAGGCCCAATTACTTACAGGAATGCCTTTTGTACAAGTAATGCCTTGTGCTTTCATATCTGCAGGGGAGGCCCAGCTAGTGGTCCCGTCAGCTGGAATATGTGGGTTAGTCGCATGATATAGGAGATACAGGATTTTCTTTGCATTGAGGCTCCCTTTGTAGCATTCTCTCCCCAAGGGAGTTCAGTCCCCCCCCCCCCTTCTACAGTTTCAGACACCAATTAAAGACTTAGCTATGCGTTTGAGTTTTGTCTTTGCTATCTGGAGAGATAACAGATGTAATGTGTAGACTTTGTTTATGGTAGTTAAGCGATTAAGAGAGAACCATGGGATCATGCACTGCCTTTCCCCTCCACCGAGTGAATTTCTTCTTCTGTCTTAACCATGATAAAGGAATACATTTAGCAAGGAATCTGGTTAGCCAAAATACTGGTTGCCAAAATACCATTTCTCTGTAGGGAAGATCGAAAGATGTCTGTGCCAGATTAGAATTGATATGTGTGATCCTTCGTGCCGTTCCCGATTTCTCAGTTGAAGAAGGAGCTGTCATTCTGCTCGCAGGTTTTCTACAAGATGTGTCTGTTAAATCATTTTTAAACCCAAACTAAGACCTGCTCTTCTGCTTTAACTCCCTTGTAAACTTTCAAAATTCAGAACTATTCTCAGCGACTAAGATTGCTTATTTTCTTTAGCGATGTACAAGTTTGAGGCATAGTGTGGTTCTTATTTAAGTGAACATGTGTCAATGCTCCCTGCAGCACCCCAGTACAAACCCTCCTGAACGTGGATTCATTCTTTAGAGACCTGTATAAATATTCTGCAGAGTGAGTCACATCACCTAAAACAAGAGGGTGTTAATCTTTTACTTAGTAATGTTTTTAAATTGATGAATACTTTTCCCAAATAGGTGTAGTTCAAGTGCAGCAGAAAGTGTTGGGTATCATTCCATCAACTACTGGATCAAACCAACAAACATTTACTTCATTCCAGCCGAGGACAGCAACTGTAACTATTAGGCCAAATAACACAGGGACGGTGTGTACAACGAGTGCTTCACAAGTAAGATTGTTGTTGTTGTTGTTGTTTAAGATTAATGATCTTGTAGTTTTGTAATAAGGTTGCTCTTGGACTCCATTTGAGATGGCGTTTAATCTAGAAACTATTTACAGTGCCAAAACTCGGACCTAAAAATCTGAAACCTAAACCTAGAGTTTCATACAATTGTTGATTTTCTTAAGAGACACTCATTGTCCCAGTTTGCGCATAACACTAAGCCAGCATCCTGGACCAAAGCTTGCGTCGGCTGCACTTTTCTACTCCTCCGGCACTACCTGGAGCTAAGCCATGGTTGCTGTAGGAACCTGCATGTTTCTGCTAAGTTATGGCCTGGCTGAGCATTATGCACGAACTAGAACATTGTCTACCTTTGTCACTTATCTCTCAGTAGTTCTTTACCATGGGGACTTGCTTTAAATCAGCTGGCTTCTGGGCCGGTTCAGGTCTCCTTGCTACCCATGATTGAAGAATGCCCCAAGGGATTTTTTGTTTTATGAGTCCTCTTGTGTGTTTCTCTCGGTCCGTCTGTCGTTTCTTCCAGTTTTTCCTTAATACATACATGATTTCATTTTTCATAGCACTGGAGTTTTATTGTTGTTGCAAATGTTCAGGTTGCATTACATAAATAAAACTTCATGAAAAGAAATATGAATGGAGATGTTTGAAGAGCGGTGGATTAACCAGAGAAAAAGTAATGTAGTTTGCACCTTAAAAAGGTTTTTGAAAAGTGTTTTGGATAAATAAAAAGCTTGGGGGGCGGAACCCAAAGTAAAAATTTAACAGTATATTGTTATATATTGTTACATTTTATATTTAACTTTGGGGGATGTTTTCCTTTTTTCAACTTTTAGCTTACCTGAAAAACCATTTTTTAAAAATGGTTTCTTAAAAGTGTTTTTTTTTTCCATATACGAGTCACAATATGTATAGAAATAAGTTTAGTTGAAGAAAAAGTTTACTGTTTTCCTTGTAACTTGTGTAGGTAATGGCTGGGACACCTCTCCGGCCTGGGATGACAGTCATAAGGACACCACTTCAGCAATCAGCATTAGGAAAGACCATCATTCGAACACCTGTCGTGGTACAGCAAGGTATTCTTCCAACTAGTAGGTTAATTTTGATTTTTAAACCTCCAGTATGTGAAATCCATGATTTTTTCCCCTTCATTTAAAAAAGAAAAATAAGTATCATCAACACTAATTCAGGCATGTCTGTGTTAGGGTTTTTGCTTTAAATTACCGATAAAACTTAAACATTTCGGGCCAGTCAGCTGAATAATACTAAAAAGAAAGCACTATGCTACTTAATTTTGTTTCTGAATCATAAATACGATACTCTGGCTGGTATTCAGATTGTTCTTAGGTTCAGACAAGGTGCTTCTGCTAGACGATAGGAATCTTTGCCTTCTTTTTTGTGGTTAGAAAAGCTGAGATCCACTGCAGACTGCACTGAAGGCTTCTTTTTCAGAAACACGAGTCCAAATCCATCTTGGACTTCCATAACTAGTTACGTGTTCCTGTACATCCTGGCTTCTATCAAGAGTGGCTAAGCTTCGTCCCTTCAGATACAGTTGGGCTACAACTCCTATTATCCCTGGCCATTGGCTATGCGGTTGGAAATTGAAGCCCAGCAACATCCAGAGGACCAAAGCTTAGCCACGTTGGCATATATTATAACTAAGCTGCAAAATGAGGAAAAGGTAATACTAGGCTGCATTTTTTTCATGGCTTTGAAGAGACATAGAGGCACATGACTGGTCAATGGACCCAGTGATTTTACTGGTCAATGGAACTTGGTAGATGGGAGGGAGAAGCAGCCTTGGAATTCTTTTTCGCAGAGGCTTCTTGTGTTGGGAACAGATTCTTATTAATACAAATGATATGTCCATGCAGGCCAGACCCAGCAAGTAGTGACCCAGATAATCAGAGGTCAGCCTGTTTCCACAGCAGTGTCTAGCGCTACCACCGTTTCTGCAAATCCAAAGGTAGTGACAACTTCAGGAGCCCCTTTGCAGCACATGCAGCCGCAAGCTGCATCACCACACCCACCTCGTCCTCAACAGGGTCAGGTGAAACTTACAATGGCGCAGCTCACGCAGCTCACACAAGGACAGGTAAGCTTTCGTGATGTTTGTTGTGTGGCGATGATTTGCCTTTCCCTGCACATGCAATGTCAATTTAAAGCAGGCATCTTCTGAGTTAATAACTGCATCTACCACATTTTTGTAAGCTAAGGTTCCTCTACCACGTGAGGTAAATGGGTTGCTCTCAAATGATATGTTTAGTTTCTGTTGCATTATTGTTGAAAAACATTTCTTTCTTTCTTTTTGTTTTTTTAATGATTTCCAGTTTTACAGTCATTTTAACATTTCAAAACTCAGAAAGAGGAGGAAGTCTAATTTTGAAATGTTAAAATGACTGTAAAACTATTGAAATGTATATGAAAATCTCTCTCTCTCTCTCTCTCTCTCTCTCTCTCTCACACACACACACACACACACACACACAAAAAAAAACATTTCAAAACTTTGCTTCCTTCCACCTCTTTCTGCGGTTCTTTAAATTTATTTTTATCATTTCCTGCATATTCTAAATTAACTTAACTTATTCTTTTATTCATCTACTTTAATTATTTACTCTTATGAAACTGCAGGTTATTACAATAATGCTGCCAGTGTCTTTATCTGTTTACAAATTATTTGTACATATTCAATAAACCAGTTCCATCCATTTATAAAAAGTTTGTTATCTTGATTTCTTATTTTTCTAGTAAATGTCACTATCTCTGCATAATCCATAAGTTTTTGTATCCATTATTCTTTCATAGGGCCTTCTTTCCATTTTGGAGCAAATAACATCATTGCCGCTGTAGTCGCATATATGAATAAATTTCTATACTGTTTTGGTAGTTCTACCCCTATAATTCCCAGGCTTCTGTGTGGGGTTTGTTTTTTTAAAACAAATGTTATTTTAAACATCTTTTTCAATTCAATTTATATCATTTCCCAGTAAGCTTTGTTGTTGAAAAACTTTTCAATTTCCCCCCTCTTTATTTGCAACAACTTATAGGTGTGGTAAATGATTTTTCAGAAAAGACTGCTCTTTTAAATAACCAAATGCCAGAGCTTGTGGGTGAAATCTTACCCGATAGCGGTGGAAGGGATTCTCTCTCCTCCCTGCAGCTCCTGTGTATTCGATCAAGATTTTCTCTGAAAGGTTGGGGGGCCTCCGGGAGCAAATTGTGGGTGGGTGATTACAGGGAGGAGAAGGGGACGCACCAACATTGGGTGTCACCAACCATTCCAGCTGGAAAGTTCATTACACGGTGCAAGCCCTTGATATACTCCATTGGGATCTTTTGTGGGTATTGACGTTTACATTTCCCCCACTTTTAGGGTGGCAGTCAAGGTTTGACTGTGGTGATTCAAGGGCAAGGTCAAACCACTGGGCAGTTGCAGTTGATCCCGCAGGGTGTCACAGTAATACCAGGACCAGGACAACAGCTAATGCAAGCAGCTATGCCAAATGGTACAATCCAGCGGTTTCTTTTCACCCCACTTCCACCAGCAGCAGCAGCAGCTACTGCAGCTAGTACTACTACAACTACAGTTTCCACCTCAACACCAGGTAGGGTTGTTTTTTAATATATATATATATATTAAATAGAAACAAATGCATTTCAGCTTTGAAATAAAAGTAGTTTTTCTAAGGGAATGCTTTTCAGGCTTAGAAATGCTGAAGCCTTGTGGTGGCTTCTTAGAGGAGGAAAGCTGCTCCTCAGATTGTTGTTAGTATGGCTCTGAAGTCCTGCTTTTTATCTTCCCAGCTGCAGGAGAACAGAAGCAAGCTTCTCAAGCACAGACCCAAACACAGCCAGCGCCAGAGCTTCCTCCTCCTCCTCCTCCTCCTCCTCCTGAACCCCAGCCACCTCAGAGTCAGCTCCAAGGCCAGTCTCAGGGGCAACCCCAGAGTATTCAGCCTCAGCCTCCAGCTCAGACGCAGCCTACTCAATCTCCGCCTCGGGCTGAAGCCCAGGCAGCCGCCGAAGCTCAGCCTCCAGCTTCACTTCCATGCCCAGTCATCTCCGAAGCACAGCCTCCAGTATCGCAACCAACCGTAACTCCAGCCACTGCTCAGACTCCACCCCAGAGCCTTCCACAAGGGCAGCCTTTAGCCCCAGTTCAAAGCCAGGCCCAGTCAGGGGTACACCCACAGACCCCGCCCAAAGTTCAGATGATTCAGCCAGCTCAGGTCCAGACTCCAGCGCCACAGCACCTCCCCATGCAGCCGCATCCTTCGATCCAAATCCAGACTTCGCAGCCCCAGGTTCCAACTTCGGTTCAAACTCTGCCACCCGCGTCAAACGTAAATCAAGTTACCGTGCAATCTCCACGTCCTCAGCTGCAAATCCAGCCACCGCAGACTAAGGTGATCACAGTCCCGCAGCTTCAGCAGCAAGTCCAGGTGTTCTCTCAGCTCCAGTCCCATGTTGTGGCTCAGATACAGGCCCAGCAAGGTGGTCTGCCTCAGCAAATTAAACTTCAGTTGCCTATTCAGATTCAGCAAGCCGGCCCGGTGCAAGCTCATCAGATCCAGAACGTGGTAACTGTTCAAGCGGCCAGCGTTCAAGAGCAACTGCAAAGGGTTCAGCAGCTCAGAGAGCAGCAGCAGAAGAAAAAACAGCAGCATATTGAAATTAAACGTGAGCACTCCCTCCAGGCTTCTAATCAGAGCGACATTATCCAGAAACAGGTACACTTATCCAAAGACATCTTCACTCCTGTTCTTGGCCGTCAAGCTATATGCATGTGAATCCTTTGGCCTGTGCATTTGGTTTAAATCTTAGGGGTCTTTCCTTATTAAAATACATTGCATATCCCTTTTTTGTAAATGTAACAGATGTTCTGTATCTAATATTGGTTTTTTAAAGTACTTGGTGGCATCTGGGTCATGATTTACTACATCAAAGTTTGCTGCCAGGGCGTTCAGGGGAGAAGAGACTTGGATCTGATTGCTCAGTCTTCCACACTATTTCCGCACTACATTTTTTCTGTAGAAGAGAAGACTTGGCATGATAGCAGCCTAGTGTTGTAAGCTACTAGTGATGGATCTGGGGAAGAAAATTCATGCACAGTCAATTCTGTTGCCATACTATAGTGTTAGAGTAGGTAACGTCCCCGTCCTCCCACTTGTTAAACTTCAACTCCCATCATCCTTCACCATTGGTCATTCTGCCTGGTGCTGATGGAAGCTGGCGTCCAACAATATCTGGAGGGCAACATGTTGGCTACCCCTGCTATAGTGCCATACATCTAAAATACTTTTAAGGCTTCTGTACAAAATTGAAGGAGAGCTTCAAAAGCATTTTGTAGTCCTCTTGAATTGAAACTCGGAGAATGCTTCACTCTGAGCTCACATACTTCTCCATCAAATCTTCCTCTGCAGCTAATATCCCACCCCACCCCTCCTGATCTGCTTCTTCCTCAGCTTTAGAAGGAGTCAAGGGCTCCTATTTCCCTTCACCAGAATTGCACAGGCAACTGCTGAGCAAATGAAGGTCGCTTTTACTTTACTGGCAATGGGTTTAATCTCTGTGACGCTCAGGTTTAAAATTACCTGCAGCTTTAAAAGTGTGTTTCATTTTGTCGCTTTTTGCCATCAAAGGTTTTGATTTCCCACCCCCCACCCCCTTTTCTTGAAGGTGGTAATGAAGCACAACGCTGTGATCGAGCATCTAAAACAGAAAAAGACGTTGACCCCTGCTGAACGGGAAGAGAATCAGCGGTAAGGCAGATGGACAGACATTAAGCAAGGCGTATGGTGCCTTTCAGTATTTTCCGGTGTAGAAGAATATGTGCTAATGTAAACGTTTACTACCAACTTACTCATAGAAATGATTGCTCATGTTTGTTTGAGCCATTGTGTCATGAACTGGCTGGGTGCAAAGAAGTGGTGGGAGTCAACAGCCAGGAAACCCCCAAGGGAGAAGATCTGGAGCCAGGGGATTGGTGGTGGGATGACAGTGAGTGGTCAGAGGGAGAAAAGGGAGCAGACTGAAGGGAGAAGGTGTTGGAAGGTGAAGAGGTAACAGGGTTTAGTGAGCAGGAAGAGTCTGGTGGAGAGCAGAATTGGAGGCTGGAGAGGAGGAGGGGGGGATAAGAGGCAGAGAAGAAGCCCAGTAGTCTCTTTTCTCCTGCTGCGACCATACTACTCAATATTGCGATCTCTTTTAAGTATCTTCTTCCAACCTCTGATCCTACACAGAAACCACAAAATGCACAATGCTACAAAATTGGATAACAGTATGTTTTTGTAAGCATCCCTTTACTTAAACTGCTCCATGTTTTTTCTGCATGCTTACAATATGACCTGACATTGTCCCATGTCTGCTGGTATTTTTACTATTCTACAAAATTTGAACGGTGGAAAAGAAAGGAAAGCTGTGAATACAGAATATTATTTAGATGGTTGGGGTGCCTGTTTATACACCTTGTACCTTCACATAATGTGTACTAACATCTAATATAGAGGCTTTGGTACTATAAAAAGATTTGGTTTCTGATTGATATTTTTTTTGTTCTCCCTAAAAATGCTCTTCAGCTTTAGTCATTATCTTAAAACTATTCTTATTTTTATTTGATTACTAAATGCAATCTTTGTGGTTCTCCATCGCCCCCTTATTAGTCTCTTCATAGTAGTATTTTTTCTATTTCTTCTCCAGAATGATAGTGTGCAACCAAGTAATGAAGTATATTCTGGATAAGATAGATAAAGAAGAAAAACAGGCTGCTAAGAAACGAAAGCGAGAAGAGAGTGTGGAACAAAAGCGCAGTAAACAGAATGCAACTAAACTCTCGGCTCTGCTCTTCAAACATAAGGAACAACTTAAAGCTGAAATACTAAAGAAAAGGGCACTTCTGGACAAAGACTTACAAATTGAAGTGCAGGTAAAATGAATTTTTCTCCTTAATGAATTGTTGGGCTTATTTATTTGACTATGTAAGAGAAAGTTCAGAGCTAGACTTTTTGTACACATGGATATTCCCACTCAATATATGGATTTTAACTTAAGTGCATTATGTCTCAGTGCATTTTGCCACATTTTAGCACTTTCTCTCCCATTATATTCCTTTGGCCTTCACTCTTGACATGATCCAGAACCCCTGTTAGTTGAAATCTTAATTGGTCCGTTCCAGACAGATTTAGCACTGTGGGAATTCCATGCCGTCTTACCACAAAACACAACGACATTAGCGGAGTCTGTAACCTGAAGTGTATGTAACCTGAAGCGTATGTAACCTGAGGTACCACTGTACAGTGGTACCTCGGGTTACATACGCTTCAGGTTACAGACTCCGCTAACCAAGAAATATTACCTCGGGTTAAAAACTTTGCTTCAGGATGGGAACAGAAATCGTGCTGTGCTTCAAGTTAAGAACAGTTTCAGGTTAAGAACATACCTCCAGAACGAATTACGTTCTTAACCCAAGGTACCAGTGTATGTGCTCCACCGACACTCACGGGCCAGGACCGGAACCCCCGCGCGAAATCTTCACCCCCCATTCAAAAAACTTGCATACACAGCAGGAGCGACAAGCTCCATGTGTTTAATAGCGTATATCTAGATTGACCTTGTAATTAACTGTCCATGTTTGCTGTTCCTTTGCTTTTAATTTCACTTAGGAAGAGCTAAAGAAAGACTTGGCAAAAATTAAGAGAGAGAAAGAAAAGGCGCAGGCAGCTGCCGCTGCTGCCGCTGCTGCAGCAGCAGCAGCAGTACCACCACCTCCTCCACCACCACCACCACCTCCTCCTCCTCCACCTCCACCACCACCTCCTCCTCCACCACCACCACACAGTACCAATGTTGCATCGACAACCACGGTCACGACACCCGTTTCATCCCATAAGAGAAAACGAGAGGAAGAGAAAGAGTCCTCGTCTTCTAAATCGAAGAAAAAGAAAATGATATCTACTACCTCAAAGGAATCCAAGAAGGACACCAAGCTTTACTGCATCTGCAAGACGCCTTATGATGAATCTAAGTGAGTAGTGGATCTTAAAGGCGTTTGTGTTATACTTAGTTTAGTTTTAGCATTTAGTTAGTAGTTGTGGGAGATTACCAGAAATGGGGTTGTATATATGTATATATCAGTTGTCTATACGGTCACTGGGAAGGTACTGAAGATGTAAGCACTCAGGATTGTATTTCTAAATACCAGTCTGTTAGTTTTTGTGATTCATATTTTATCTATTTGCATGTTTCCATTATATGATGTCTCACATTGCACATCCTTTATTTTGCTTTTATTCTTTCCTTTGTCTTTATGCCTCTGCTTTGGAAGCAAGGGATTATAGGCCAGTCTTCTTCTCTTCAACAGGCTCTGGACATCCCACAAAGAGATTTCTGGATTGTATTTCTGCACAGGGGAGAAGCATTTCTTCTGTAGTTTACATAGAGTCCAAGTTACTGTGCTGCAGTACATTTTTTTAAGTGTTTATTTCTTCTTAGATTATTTAATACCTTTTTTCAGACTTTTAAGATTTGGTATTTTAGAAGCTGAAGGCACTTAACAAAATGGAAACTGCAGTTCTATATAAAATATGTTCAACTAATAATACTAAACAAGGAAAGGGAGAGTTCTACACAGTCGTACCTTGGTTCTCAAACCCTTGGTACTCGTACATTTTGGCTCCCAAATGCCGAAAACCCGGCAGTAATTGTTCCGGCTTTCCAAAGTTTTTTGGAAGCTGAACATCCGACGTGGCTTCTGTTTGAGTGCAGGAAGCTCCTGCAGCCCATCAGAAGCCACGCCTTGGTTTTTGAACGCTTCAGAAGTCAAACAGACTTCCGGAACAGATTAGCTTTGAGAACCAAGGTACGACTGTAATGGAGAAAACATTAGGGTGGGATGGACAGAAATAGCTTTGACTTGTAGCTCATTAGAGTTTGAGAACCAGTAAAAGTCAGTACCACCTAAAAGGTACTTTTAGTGAAACTGTGCTCTGTTCACAGAATTCACTTTTACTAAATAGATCAAAATCGGCAATTCATCTCTGGTTATGGTACCAAAGTGAAGCATTCATTTCTGAGTCTTGTCCTGCTCCAGTCTCTGGTATTCATTGCCAGGCCAACTTTAGACTTTTTACTAAGCTGCTGTAGCTGTGCTAAATTTGTGGGAGTCACAAGTCCCCAGTCTGCCATTTCTTGTTCCCATCTTTAGAGCAAAGCTTTATGAATGATCATCATATTAAGGTAGAGTCTTGTTCCGTTTTATCCAGTTGTGTCCCTCTGCTCACAAGAAAGGCTCTTCAGTCCAGCAGACGGTTCCTTGAACTTGGGGTACAGAGTGTCTTGCTGATTTCTCCTTCCCTCTGCTGCCTGAATGCTGCCTCCCCGCCCTGTCCCCCAACATACTGCAGAGGAACCCTCCAGAACAATATGGGAAGTGGTACCAGGGGCTGCAAAAGAAAGGGGGGATTTGCAAAAATTAATTTAAAAATCACTTCTCCCGCTTTAGTTCATCGAAAGATCTGCTGGAGCAAAGAACCTTCTCTGAGCAGAGGGACACAAAAACAAGCCCTTGTGCAGTACTGCATTTTAACATAGGCTGGAATTTCAGCCGTATGGTTTTTTTCCCCTTTTTTTTTCTTCCTCTGAACTACAGTGAGCAAAAGGAATTAAATGATTGCAGGTGCTTTATAGCAGAATGAGCAAATGAGCCTTTTACTGCGATTGAAGAGTTAACAACTTCACAAACCAGTTTAGTTAGAACTGCTGGCAGTGGCACAACAACATGATGCAGCCTAATGTTTCTTTATTAGAACTTATTACTGTATTTTTCCATGTATTAGATGAGGTTTTTTGACTCAAAAATTGTGTCAAAAAACTGGAGTTGTCCAACACACGGATAGTGGCATGGGGGAGAGAAGCGGCGTGTGCGCAACTTCCCCCAATGCCGCTGCGCGCGGGAAACAATCTAGGGGGTGTTTCCCGTGTGCAGCTGTGGGGGGGGGGAGAAGCTCAACAGCTTTGGGCCATCCCCTCATTTTCTTAAAATTGAGTCCCCCAAAATAGGGGGTTTCTATACATGGGGGCGTCTTATAGACGGAAAAGTATGGTATTGTAAAATGCAGCATAGTGAAACCATGTGGCTGAGGCGGCATATTTGAAATTAATTCCACCATGTGTGTGAAAAAGCATTTGTTTTGTTGAGACTGAGCATGATCCACCAAACATGGATCCTTTGTATCTGATACTAATTTTAATGGGGCTTCTTAGGAGTAGATGTCGGATTTTAATTTATGGGTTCAGCATTTTTAATACATTTCTACAAATAAGGTAGTTTCTCCCTTACAGTTCAGAACAATTAGAAGGGTGTTTCATTCTCTATTCCAACTCTGAACTTATTCCGTTTGTGAGTAGATCAGCTAGGGTTGGATCCAGCACTGCGTGAACAGAGTTCCTCGTGCAACGTGACTTCCCTTTCTCTTCTCTTCCCTCGTGCCCCAAAAACCTGCTCCAGAGGCCACCTCCCAACCTTATGGAACAGGTTTTGGGAGTGTGCAGGGGACACCAGGGAAGAGAAGTGGCACGTCTTGTTGCTCAAGCAGAATCCTTCTGCACAAATGGAACAGCAGCACTGGTATTTACAAGTTGCAGGTTATTAAAATTTTAGTCAAGCTGTTTTGTTACTCTGGATTATTTTTAAAAAAAATTAAGTTTCAGTGATTGCATGGAAGAGAGCTGACGATTCATACCACATTCTGTATATGTTTTTATGCTAGAATTATGCTAAGCGTAGGAATGAGGCTTCTTGCAGTTCAAGCCCATAGCCTTAACGTGCTCAGTCTTCTCAGAGGTTGACAGAACGTAAGAGAAGCAAATCTATCAGGAGCCATAGGCTTGCATACAGAGCAGGGTGAGCAGAATTCTGCTCTCGTGATGGGGCGTTCCTTCTACTGCTGCCTCTGTTGCTCCTGATGGGGAGGGGACTTAGCCAGAATTGAGTGGGGGGGGTGCTCAGAGGAGGAGAAGGTAGAGAAGCCCCACTGTGTGAACAGAGTTTCACTCATGCTGCCTGGATCCAAGCCATAGTGTATTGGTATTAGCAGTCCTTGTGATGTGTATGCCTGGCCATCCTGTAGCAAAACTGTTTCTTTAGGCTCAGTAGATGTTCTGTTGTGGCAGCAGTGGAAGGCAAGCCAGGAGTAAAGGTGGTGAACTGAGATAGCGCTTTAAAAATTACTGGATTATTGTAACTCGCTCTGCGTGGGGCTGCCCTTGAGACTGACCCAGAAACTCCAGCGGGTGCAGAATGCCGCGGCGAGACTCCTTATGAGGTCTTCGCCGCGGGATCACATTCATCCAGTGCTATACCAGCTGCACTGGCTCCCGGTGGAGTACAGGATCAGGTTTAAGGTGCTGGTTTTAACCTTTAAAGCCCTATACAGCCTAGGACCCTCATACCTACGGGACCGCCTCTCCTGGTGTGTCCCACAGAGGACCTTATGGTCTTCAAACAAAAAGATCTTGGAGGTCCCGGGCCACAGGGAGGTTAGGCTGGCCTCAACCAGAGCCAGGCCTTTTTCGGCTGTGGCTCTGATCTGGTGGAACGCTCTGTCACAAGAGACTAGGGCCCTGCGGGACTTGACATCTTTCCGCAGGGCCTGCAAGACAGAGCTGTTCCACCAGGCTTTTGGCCAAGGCACAGCCTGACCCCCGCCTTTGGCAATCCTCACAGAACTCTAGCCCAATGGTTGCCATCAATTTGATTTGAACTGATTTTATAATGAATTGATTTTAGAATGCTGTGTTATTTTACTGTTGTTAGCCGCTCTGAGCCCAGCTTCGACTGGGGAGGGTGGGGTATAAATAAAAAAATTATTATGATTATGATTATGATTATTATTATTATTATTATTATTATTTTAGTGGAGAAGTTCCTCAACAATGCTACGAAGAGAGCATTGAAGCTGTAGTAAATAAATTCCAAGCTATTTTTTTTGGGGGGGGTAACCTTTTTATGAGCTGGGGATAGGGAACAGAATATATACTAAGCATTGCTGTGCAGCAATGTTTTGTGTTGGAACCGATCAGTCTGCAGGAATTCAGCCCATAACGTTACTAAAAATGTTAACATGGTGCACCAGGAGAGTGCGCCCTGAAGACGTACTCAAATTAGCTTTGAGATAGAAGCTCATTCAAGATGTAACACCAAACCAGCTTTGGTGGCACATGAACGAGCTTAGAATCGCCCTTAAGAATCAGCATGCTCCTTCCCGTACTGGCTGCATTTTCCTCCCTTCTTGTTCCGGGGCACACAGTACTTCTCCACTCCACTCCACCCCTCCAACCTAGTTTTGGATATATGGTTTGCCCCCAACCAGGACGAATGGGAAATAATTGGAGCGTCAGACTGGTTTGACACGATATGCCACAGACGTGGCTCTTTTCCTCCATAACTTTGGTAGTCGCATTTGAGTTTAGATGCAGTCAAATGATATCGACTTGCAAAATTGCCAGTGTGAGAGAGATACTTGCAGAATTGTGTGGTGTTTTTTTTACTTCATGCCTTACCCATACCATACTTGATCTGTCACACAGTGTTGTCTTGAGAATTTACATTATTGAAGGAATAGCCTTTCAGTTTTAAAGAGTCAAGTTCCACCGATTTCAGGCTGTTTCTTAGAAATTTTAAAACTTACATCCACTTGTCCCATTTTCCTTCATGTCATGTTATACCAATATGTATTTTACACATGGCTGGTATGCATGCTCTTTTTAGTGTACCTGTTAACTTCCAGTTGTGTCTGTGCTTTGTTTTTTAAAATGGAGATAAACATTTTCAAATCTTACAAAATTTGCCTCTATTTAAGTGGCTTCTTAGCTGCACAGTTTTGAAAATGTTTATCTTTTTCTTTGGCCTTGTCTTTGTGCATTCACAGTTGAGACATTCGCATATTTCAGAATTCAGTGCATATCAACCAACCTGTTTATCTAAGAAATACAACTGTTTATTGAACCAGGCCCTAAAGAATTATGTCCACCGCATTAGCTTCAGAGGTTAGCTTTGGAAGGGTAGGTTGATGTAGTTAGGAAAATGAAATCAGAACGTTTCAGGGAATCAGGTTAGCAAGTGCCATGCCATTTGAAATGACAATTACATTGTCATTTTCATTGTAAATACTTTTAGGTTCTATATTGGCTGTGATCTTTGTACTAACTGGTATCATGGAGAATGTGTTGGCATCACAGAAAAGGAGGCTAAGAAAATGGATGTGTACATCTGTAATGAGTGTAAACGGGCACAAGAGGGCAGCAGTGAGGAATTATACTGTATCTGCAGAACACCTTATGATGAGTCACAGTGAGTTCTGACAAGAACCTCTTATTTAATATATAGGTAGCAAACTGCTCTGAGTTTGGTAATGTGTTTCTTGAACAAAAAAGAAATATTGTTCCACATATGTTGTATCTAGTGATGTGACTTTTTTAAAAAAAAAAATGAAATGTTGCTCAAAATGATGAATGTTTGACTTTCAGGAAAAGTGGGTTTGCAGTATTTCTAATAAAACAAGTTAATATTCTAAAGCAGGCAAATTTTACTGATTTGTTACAACACATTTCCTAGAAAATACAATAGCTAGTAGGTATTCCTAACTTACTGCAATTAAAGTTATGCTTTGTTTAAACTGAATATGGTATGGGTATCTGAGTGGTATTAAGTCTGTTATGAGTACCCCTTTAATGTGTTACAGGACTCTGAATTACCATTTTTAAATGAATATAAATATATTAAAAAATAGTTGGGCAAACTATTACTTTGTTTGCAAATGCAAAATGTATGATTTCTGGCTTCACTTTTGTTTCTTTCAGCTTTGCAAGTTGTTATGGTCTGTAGATAATTCAATTGCTTGAGATTAAATGTTGTTGATCCTGGTAATTTTTCTTCGAAACTACTTTTCAGAAATTATATACTGCTTCTTTTAATGGTATTATAAGAAGCTGTATCTAATTTTTGAAAAGTAGTTTTGAGTAAATAGCTTTGCAATTGTTACTATACGGCCTATTACGTTTACGTGTTTTTTCAATTGGATTTGCGTAATATAGGCATTCTGGTGGTTTTTGGTAATTTTTCTTCACAATTGAATGCTGTTACAATTATTTCAGTAAACATGTAGCTTGATTAGCATTTATAGCATGTTTCATTTCAAATTCGAGAGGCAAAAGTTCTTACTCGGTTTAGATTTCTGACCAGTAGAATATTTTCATGAAAAGGTTAACTGGTTTTTTTGGGATCTTGCAGATTTTACATTGGCTGTGACCGGTGTCAGAACTGGTATCATGGGCGTTGCGTTGGTATTTTGCAAAGTGAGGCAGACCTCATTGATGAGTATGTCTGTCCGCAGTGTCAGTCAACTGAAGATGCCATGACAGTACTCAGTCCCTTGACTGATAAAGATTATGAGGGGCTGAAGAGAGTGCTACGGTCATTGCAGGTAAGGACCAGACTTGGTTCATTTTAATTTAGTCCCCCAGCATATTTAAATTCAGTTCTAATACATCTTTTGGCAATGGAATTTCATTAAATGCATGGAATTGAAAAGCACTCTTGAGGACATAAAACTCCCTCTGAAGTCAGAGCAGGCCACTTAGTAGGTAGCATTTGCCCAAAATTATAAATATCTCCTCATACATCCCTTCCCAACACCATGCAGTTCAGACACACAGAGTTGGATCCTGGTTTCTGCTTAGTGATGCTCCACTGTAGGAAGGGGGAGACAATTACTGCAGATTCTTGCATCTCCCTTTGCTCCCAAGAAGCTGCTCAGAAACAGCATGTGAGATAGTGTAGGATAAAGGGAATCAGCAAAGATAATCTCTCCTCCCCCTTCTTCTTTATCTGGAGCCTCTGCTGGTTCTGAGTAGCATCTGTGAATGGAAGGAGACTATTTGTTTGTGGAACAGCCAACAGTCAATCCAGCCCACTAGACTTGGGCTGAGATGGGGTTCATATTAATGAATGAAGTGAATTTTGAACTGAATATCTCCTTTTCCTAACAGGCTCACAAGATGGCATGGCCATTCCTAGAACCGGTAGATCCCAATGATGCTCCAGATTATTATGGTGTTATCAAAGAACCGATGGGTAAGTGTATTCCCACGTGATTTGATTACATACGCTGCCTTTCATTGACAGATCTGTTATCTGGGATATGCTCATCACACAGAAGGGTAAATCCAAAGAAACAATCCTGTTCATGTATACCTGGAAGTATGTGCCGTTTCATTCAATAGGGCTTACTGCCTAGTCAATGCAAAAAAATGGCAGCCAAAGAAATTTTCATATGGCTCCGTAGTTTATGATGGAGCAAAATGATGTATTTATTTAGATCATGGGTAGGCCTGGGGGCCGGATCCAGCCCAATCACCTTCTAAATCCGGCTTGCGGACGCTCCAGGAATCAGCGTGTTTTTACATGAGTAGAATGTGTCCTTTTATTTAAAATGCATCTCTGGGTTATTTGTGGGGCATAGGAATTCGTTCATACCCCCCCCCAAAAAAATAAAGTCCAGCCCCCCACAAGGTCTAAGGGACAGTGGACCGACCCTCTGCTGAAAAAGTTTGCTGACCCCGATTTAGATTCCTTAAAGAGATTTGTAAAAATAACACCTGGGATATAGCAATTTCTGAGTGTCTCACCAGGCACAGGAGAGCAGTTAAAGGCACAACAAAGAGAGACACCTTCCAGGAAATGTGGACCCCTTTCTTTAACTACTGTATTTTTCGCTCTATAGGATGCACTTTTCCCCCTCCAAAAATTAAGGGGAAATGTGTGTGCGCCCTATGGAGCGAATGCAGGCTACTTGGCTTCAGCGATAGCAACGCGAAGCCTCCGAAGCGCAGAGGGAGAGCTCCCCCGCACTCCGGAGGTTTCGCGTTGCTTTCGCTGAAGCCCCCTGAGTGCAGCGCGAACTCCCACTGCGCTCCAAAGGCTTGCGTTAGCCGCCTGAAACCTGGAGAGCAAGAGGGGTTGGTGCACACTGATCCCTCTTGCTCTGCAGGCTTCGCTTCGCTGGAGAGGCACTGCACAGTTTCCCCTCTCTGTGCAGCGCCCCTTCAGCGAAGCGGGAGGAGAAATGGAAGGGGCTCCGTTTCTCCTGCCGCTTCACTGAGGGAGCGCTGAGCCGAGAGGGGGAGAATTTTTTTCCCCTTTCTCCCCCTCCTATGGTCCGGTGCGTCCTGTAGAGCAAAAAATACAGTATGTTAATGAACAAAATCAAGACTTTCCTATATCAGCGGTTCAATATTCTCAGTGGAGCGGTTATATTAAGTGATTATGTTTGAGTGTTGAATGTGTAAGTGCGTGTCTAGAGACAATGGATAAAACATGCACCCTTCGATGTACTGCTGGATAAGTGTTTAATGGTTATTGTATTTGTATTTGTTTAAAAACCAATTAAAATTGTTTAAAAAAGAGAGTTGTATCCCACTTTTCTACTACAAGGGTCACTATGGTGGCTCACCATATGGTTTGAAAACAAATACATATACACACACACACACACACACACACACAAAATAAAATTTCAACGACATTGTAATAAAGCATAACTAAGAATTAGAAAACAGTGCAACATGAAAGCCGTTTGTAAGTGTAGGGTACAAAGTTAGAATAACCCAAAATCCTGACAAAATGAGGATGTCTGGAGTATTTGCTATAAAACACGGAGCCAACCAAACTTTGAGTGGAAGGGATGTCCTCATCCCTGATGCCACCACCAAATCAGGCCCTCTTCTGTGGCCCAGTCTGTGTCTGTGAAGGCAGAAGAGCAAAGGTGACAATGTGAGAGAACATGGTCTTTCAAATAACCTGTCCCCAGTGCCTTAAAGTCTTCTAACAGAGATCCTGACGTTAAGAACAAAAGAAGAATCGTGCTGGGTCTGGCCAAAGGCCAGCAACATGGTCTCACGGTGGCCAACCAGAAGCTTATTGAAAGACCACTAGCAGGACATCTGTGTGACAGCACCGTTAACTTAAAGAGTAAAGCAGTCTTAGTTACATAGATAAATCTATATCTGTGCTTGGCCTAGCTCTAATGTCTGGCAGGTTGTGCCCTAAAGTTCATGTGCTAATTCTATATTCTGAATTAGGAATAAATTTGGTCCTACATAAGCATATTTTAATCTGATTTCCTACTCAAACTGCAGGATTCAACTAACAAAACCCACTAGCAGAAGCCTGTGCAAGGCCTTCCACTAGATCAAATTTTTAATAATAATAGAAAAGCTTTGCATAGTTTGTGATAGCAAGTGTATGTTGAGGAAATACTGTTTACATAGAATTTGAGAAATGTTTCTATTTCCTGACTATTATTTATCACTATTTTCTTGTGACAAGAAGGTGTACACGTACCCTCTTTCTCCTTTTCGCCGCTTTCATTTCGTCCTCGGTTGTTACTATGGCAGTTACAGAACTGGGTCCTTCATCACAGTCTGCTCTTTGTGTGATTGCATGTGCATTTCAGTGACAACTAATTGAAGCAGTCAACCAAGGTTATTAATTGAAATAGGGAGCAGTCAGCAGGAGTAGATGAGCTGCAAATTAAGCATGTTTATGTGCACTATTTGCTTTGAGTGATAAAAAAATGAGGAAAGCCAAAGCTGAAAATTAAGGGTATAAAAACCAAGTGATCTCCATTAGGAATGTCAGCGAGCTTATTAAATTCTCCACAGTGACTTCATGGATTTCTTTAAAATCTGCATATTTGTAGCTAATGATAATACATTCCCCTCCCCTTCTCCATCCTGTTCTCTACTCCACCTTCCTATTACTAACTGTTATAAAGTGTTGCTTTTCTTACTTGTTTTCAGTGTATGAGATGAATTCTATAGGTTACTGACATCTTGTTGTTGTTTTTTATTTAATTAAAAAAACACCTTTGTTTACTTTGAAGACCTTTCCACCATGGAAGAAAGAATACTGAAACGTTACTACAAGAAGGTGACCGAGTTTGTGGCTGACATGACCAAAATTTTTGATAACTGTCGTTACTACAATCCAAGTGATTCCCCTTTTTATCAGTGTGCAGAGGTTCTCGAATCATTCTTTGTACAGAAACTAAAAGGATTCAAAGCAAGCAGGTAAGTAGCCATCTCCCCCTTAGCACGCTTTTCTATTAAGTGTGCATGGCATACATGTTTATTGCTAACAGTTTATATGCTCAACTTTTTAAATGTCTGGTTCTCCCCGCACATTTTGCCGTGAAAGTAAACCTTCAGCAGTGAACGTAGAACGAGTGCACGACTAGCTTAAGGTTTTGTCAAACCAATTGTGCAATCCTCGTGAAATGGCAGAGCTGTTTTGTTTAAATCAGAACTGGTGTATGGTATAATGAGGAGGGTGTAAAATTTGCATAGCGCCTTTGAATATTGGGAGTGGCAGGCAAAAACCCTTTTTGGCTACCTAGGCAGATTGTGCCCCCAAAGGTCTATCAGTCTCGGGGGGTGTGCTCAGGAATCGGTGGGACTTGCTTCCTGTCGAAAGTGCTAAAGATTTTTCCTTTTATATTACAAATACAGCAGAACAAAGTACCTGCTGATGAACTCTTCGGTTATAAACCAAGGAGCTCTAAGGGCCCAACGTTGACTTAATTGTACGCTTGGTTTCCCTCTAGTGGAGAGTTCCTGGTTTCAGGAGAATGAGAGTCACTTTTAGTAGGGAATGAGAGTGATTCTCAGTGATGTTGTCTGTGTCTGCTCCAGCCCTTCCCCTGTTGCTTTAAAGATCAGTAGTGCAAAGGTTGAGAAGGTCTACTTGTGCCGCAGCACCGTTGCTCCCTGATGCTTACTGTATCTGTAGGTGCTCTTGCATCTCATTTGCGGTAGTTTTCCAGCAAGGCCAAAATAAGGCAATAGTAACATGAGCGGAAAGCAGCAGTTGAGTTGACATTCATTCATATTGTCATTAGTTTTGTCTCATCCTTTATTTTATTACCAGCACTTACTGTTTGGCTGTGACTCCCATTGCTGCTTCATTTACACCACCCATGTTCTTTTTTTGCAGATTGTGATAACTTTAGTCTGACCTTTCTAACTGGAATCAGAACTGGATGTTTGGCTTACTTTTTCATTGTACCATGTCATTAAATCACTTTTTTAAAACAAAAACAAATCCATACTTGCTGTTCGCTTTTAAACTGCGCTTTAATGTGGAAGCTGCCATTGGCTAGCAGCTATGTCAGAAAATAAAATGATCCGTTCTTTGAATACTGTGTCAAAATGAAGTCCAGTAATAGCAGTGGAAGCTATGTAATAATCAGTTTTAATAAAAAAAAAAACTTCCAAAAGAGGTTTTGATGAATTCTAACCAAAATGTGATATTTTAAATTCATGTTCTGCCAATAAATACACTTTTATCTAAACATCTCCCAAAGCAATGTAAATTGGCTACATCTAATTAATATGTACCTCACTCTGAGTATCATGTGACATTTCTGGATTATTATTTTTATATTTCCATTGAACATCATGTGCTTTTATACACAACTGAAAGTGGTTATGTAGATGGTGTATATGGTGTTTGCCTACGAAAGATGAACGGGAACAGCAGCATGGCTGCATTTCCAGCTGAGTGACAGGCCCTTGGCATCCACTTGAAACAACTGAGATCTCTTTAAATGAAGGGTGCTTAATTGTTCCCCTTTTCTGCATTCTGCAGGTCTCATAACAACAAACTGCAGTCTACAACTTCTTAAGGTTCCACGTGTTACCCTAACACAAAGAGCAAGAATCTGGTTGTCTGAATTTTATTTTTATTTTTATTTTTTAATTGGAAAAGCCAGAGGTTTTTAAGTCAGGGCGTCCTGACAAGTCTTGATGTAAACTGCATTTTTATCAGTCGCATCAGATTATATTCTTGGCTTGATTTTGTCCAAAGGACAAAAGAATGAAATTCAGCAGCATCGTTTTCTTGTCAAGATCAAATTGTGACAGAAACAGGAAAACGTTTTTATTAAAGGACGAGAGAGGAAAACAAGCGAGAGAAAACAAGATACAGTAAAATGGGGTCAAGTCCTAACCCCATAGAAATGCCACATCTGTTCTTCAGTGAAGAAGCTGGTTTAAAGTCCACACAGAGAAGTTTTGACTGTATTTATTTATTGTTGCAAAAGGACGCTTTTTTATTGCTGCCCTCATTTGTCAGCTTTTTCTTTCTTTCTTATACGCCCCAGCTCTGGTTAAATGTAACCCTTTCTGTATCTTACCATGGTTCCTGTAGCTAAAAGTACAAGATGACCTCTAAATGTCTTTTCTTTCTATGAAAGGAGCTGCTATGTACACATGTGCACAAACAAACTGGGAATCAACAATGAGTTTATCGTTCATGGTAGAAGAAAACAATTAAGCTTGCATAAAAGTTGGGCTAAGTGGTCATGTACTACAGACTTTGTTGCCTTGAATATAACAGTACAATTTGTCATTTACTCTGCACCGGACTGATACGAGTAAAATCTATTCGAAGGTATCTTGTTTGTAAACATTTGTCAGATTTTAATTTTTCCCCCCTTCTCCTTTTTGTATTAAAAATTCAAAATATGGATGTATATGAAACAAAATAAATGGAGATCATTGTTCTCTCCACAGATGTAGGTGTCTTTTGAATGTTCGCTAACCTGTTCGTGAGGTTTCGGAGGTTTGTTCTGAACTGTAACAATCCTGAGATAGTATGGAAGGGAAAAGTAGGAAGGTGGACTAACCCCTCAGCGTGGTTTTCCTTATGTTTAATCAAATGTAATAAAATTCTACTGTGGTGCCACAACTTTTGCCTTGATGATGAAGGAGTTGTGTAAGAGTTGTCATTGTCCATTGCTAAGTGAGATAACATGGAGCAAATGATCATGTCAGGATAAATAATGGTCTCAAAACTGTGTTTCATTTTTGTGGCTTCTTTACTAGGAAAGGTGTGTAAAAAGATGAAAGCCAACAGAAAGAGGGGCTTTGCAGATTTTTTTAAAAATTGCTTTCCCAACCAATCACACCTGCTGTTGATGACAGTTTAAATGTGTATATTATAAACCAGCAGCAGTTGGTTTTGGTAGCTCTACACCTGTGTTAACTAGATTTTGCACTAATTCACAATTTTGCCCTTCTGTGATCTGGAATTTATCTGATTATGGATAAGCTTTCCTTGGGTTTAACTTCACCCTGCTATGCAAGAACCTTTTCTGTTACTTTCTTAGACATTGCGATCAACCACAATTTTCTTACTAAGTACAGGCTCAGGTGTACAAATACTTTGGGGTTAATTTTCTCTACGAAAGCCTTCGCTTTTGTATATAGATGCTGTCATTTTAACCAATGTGAAATCAAAAGGAAGTTAATTGTTCATTGTGAAAAGAGCATCCATTTATGCTTCTTAGAAGATAGGAAAAAAAGAGTATTTGTGTTTTAGGCTATGTTGTCTTAGGACTTTTTACAAAAAAATATGCTACATATTGTATGCATTATGTTTATAAAAACAGGAGAATTTTCATCCTTAATCCTACAGATATTGTCTCTTCACAATATTTCTGTATTATTCGTACATATGGCTGACACTGAAGAAAAAAACATGTTGAGAAATGAACTTTCTTACCCGTAGGCAATAGAGCACTGTTTTTAACAAATTGTGACAAACTGAAGAATAACTTTTTTGTACATAATAGGGCATTTCATCTTAGACAAATAAAGGAATGTTGTTGGACATCAGATTTGGTGGAATTCCTAATGAAACATCAGTTGTTTAAAATAACATATGTAGCACTTGGCATTGCCATACTGTGCGGTAATTCTTGGGGGAATTTTTCATATAAATAATTATGAAATGAGGAAAATGCTACTTTCATACACTTTTTACCAAGCCTCATCATTTTTCCTACTGCTTTGTAATATATGAAGACAATTCTTAGCTGTAACTACTATGGTAATTTTTAGTTTTTTTGGGTTTTTTTGAAAAAAGTTTTATTTATGAGCCAGTGTAATGTGTGTACATTTTAAATACCACTTCTGTAAAAGGAATAAAGAAAATTATACTTTACTCAGTTTTTTTTAATGAAACAATGTGCAGAATATTTGATTTGTTTCCGAACATCTCAGTGCATTATTAAAACTCCAGAATGTATGTTCACTTACTGAGACATATCTCTTTAACATGGGTATTATGTAAAATGAGCCAGCTGAGGTCCCTTTTTAATCGCAGCTCCTCAGTCAAATTGAAGGATTTGGTGTTCCATGTCTAAATGGAGTTCAAAAGCTTCTCATTAGGTGAATTGTTTTGTGACGGGTTAGGGCCTATTTATGGAGTCTCAAGTTGGAATGGTTTGGCTTTGAACAGCTGCAGAACATTTCTACCACTGTGGCAAAACACAACATTTAGTGGATTTTAATGAATGATCACTGTAAGCAATGGCCATATGCAACTGGTCTCTTAAACATTTTTTTAAACAAAAATACATGTTTTAAGTTGCATAGTCAACCATTTTATTTTACCAATCTCAAAGGTTGACTGCATTCAGACATAACACTAAATCATGTTTTAGAGCTTTGGGAATAAGCCTAGCCTCCTGGGCTACCACATACCCTTCCACATGGCTGAGAGCAGAAGTTTGGAAGCTTTTGCTTCTGCTTATAGTTAACTCTGGATCACAGTTAACCCGAGGGTCATGATTTAACACAAACTATGGTGGGCCCTGCTCCTGCCAACCTAGCAGTTCAAAAGCACGTCAAAGTGCAAGTAGATAAATAGGTAGCGCTCCGGCGGGAAGGCAAACAGCGTTTCCGTGCACTGCTCTGGTTCGCCAAAAGCGGCTTAATCATGCTGGCCACATGACCCGGAAGCTGTATGCCGGCTCCCTCGGCCAGTAAAGCGAGATGAGCGCCGCAACCCCAGAGCCATGACTAGACCTAATGGTCAGGGGTCCCTTTACCTTTATGGTTAAACAGGCCCACTTCGTAACCCACGGTATGCAGTTCTTAGTTTTTACGGTAAGCATAATTAGTGTTAAACCATGATCCTTGGTTTGGACAACACATGGAGCCTTGTTTAATTTAAAACCTTAGCTGCATGGCAGGAGAGCCCAGGAGGAGGCTAGGCTTGTCCTTTTAGTGCTAAATCACGGTTTAGCATTACATCCAAAGGCAGCCATTGTTCTGTTACATTTAGTGGAGTACGACTTACTTTTGATTTCACATCAACAGCACTTCTAAATTTTATTTTACTTTGAAGTAATTCTCTTCTTAGTAATTGGCATGTAAATCCGCAGGAACATTTTCCCGAGTTTTATTAATGACATTTGGTGGGGTTTTACTCATAATAAATATAACTACTGTGTCGTGGATAGTATGCTAGCTCCTTTTCTCAGTGCATAGTCCCGAAGCAGGTAGAAGTGGTTACATCTTGGAAGAACATACTGTGTAAACACACCCAAAGCGAACTAGTTACTGTGGGGACAAGAATCCAATCTAGATACCGCTGGGAGGAAAAAGGTAAGTGCAAGTACAACCAGAGTTGTCTTTTTCACAGAACGAGAACAAACCTAAGCTGAAATGCAGCCAGTGTTTTCAAGTATTTATCTCGTGACAATACGCTGAAAGCAAGGAAGAGAAGCAACTATATTTCACCAGTTTTTTATGACGTGTACCGTTAGACATATTAGTCTGACTACGTAGGAAATTAGCTAATACTGTTAAAGGGGGGATAGTACTCTCCAAAGAAATTTACATAGGTAGATATGGACAGAGATGTCACTCCTTTCGTTTTCCAACTCATAACAGGAATCGAGAGGCAGAAATGAGGGGAGTTTACCTGTTCTTGCCACATCATGCAAAACAGCATTTTCAAACTGCTGGTGAGAAGTATGTTTGGAGTTTCAGATGCTTTTACAAGTTTACATTGTAAACAAGGAATCTGTTGAGTTGCATTTCCGAAGAAAATAAACACACACAAAAGCCAAACATTTCAGATAAAGCAAGGGGTTGAGTTCACCAGCTATTGTTGCATTTTAATGTTACTCTCTTCACCTCCAAGTCTGCTTTCACCAAACTTCAGTATATGTAGCACTAATCCTTATCGGAGTGTTTGAATGTTAGGAAAAGATAGACACATCTTAAACAAGTTTACTCAGAAGTCTGTCCTAGAGGATTTACTAAGTGTTTGAGTGTATAGGATTGTACCAAGCGCTTGCAGTACAGGAAATCCCCAGTTCAAATCTCACCTCTGTCATGAAGCTTTAGGAAAGACCTCTCTAGCACACACAGGAATAAAATGCCATGGAAGTAGAACTAAGCTCTCCAAAGCAGCAAGCTCTGCAAAACAATTTAGAGGGTCTCTGAACATCATTTTTATCATTAGTTTAATACAGGTCCATACTGATATAATCAAAATAGGTATTCGTCTTTTCTAGGAAGCAAGTTTTAAAACTACACTGGTCCTATAACAGCTCATCCTTTCCGCTGGTAATGGAAGACTGGCATCGTAGGCATTTAGATTTGAGTTAATTATAGAAAATAGTCTAATGGAATAAATGTAGGGAATAGTTGTATGCAGGCTGCCCCCTGTCCTCCCACTGGTCTGGGCTGCTGCCAGGAAGTCTCCTTTTGACAAAATAAAATGCCTTCATTCAAGATGTCTTGGAAAAAATTCAATTCTGACATCTTGATTGTAAGTGTGCCATTTCCCCACACAATCTGAACCAACTCCTTTCCTTCCATTAATAAAATGCATTAACCTGTTATGAAATCATGACAGATCTAACGAGGAGACATTTCTGAATTGTTTTGCTGGTATAAGGTTGCAGCTCTCCTAGGTAATTCCAGCCAGAGCTTTTTAAAAAAACACCGAAACCCTACAATGGCAGAGAGTGCTTATGAAGCCTTCCATTCCTTTTCCATCTCTCATCAAGCAAAGTCTTTTTTTTTTTCCCTTCTGAAACTTGAGCCGAAGAGCTGCATTTTTTTCCATTTGCATACATATGCCCTGTTACTAAATTGGACCATTTTGATAACAATATCGCTTTCTCTTAATAGTAACTACATCTTGGAGACATTGCTGTTGTAGAGAACATAGGCCTAGTTTTCTCCAAACATTCAGTTATCAACTCTCAATGTTTCCTCGAAATGTTTGAATGCATTGTTTTCTACATAAGGCAGTTGCCTTTGTGAGATCAGTCGTGAAACTGCCCCAAAAGCTGATAACTCTCTGCATTTTTGCTTATGATTTATATGTGCCTAATTTCTTTGTACAATTGCCTGGGGGAAAATATCTATTAACAGAAGACCCTTACCTTCTGGCCTGAGAGCAACAACATTCACCCAATGTTCTGCTTAGTTCGTGGCTATTAAATTTGAACTTGAGGATGAATATGACTGCATAAGCTTTGTGTACTCTCAGGTCAGCAGAAACTCCCATCATAAATTACTTCTGTTAACAAGCAAAAAGGAAGGTAAATAATGGCATGGCTTGTGCTAAAAACCCACTCTCCAAAGTACTATAGTGGGGATGTGGAATTGGGAAAGCCCAATTCCATAAGCAGGTTTACTTGTAGCTAAAATTCTATACGTTGTTTATTTTTAATCACATGCATTTCTGATCGTGCCAAAGAATGTATCATATTTTAAAATGTGAACTCCCCAATATTAATGCCAAAAACTGTCGGTTTCTCATGGAAGCATGCATATTGCTGGCAACTTTGGCCATCATTTGATTTTCCGTTCGAGTGGTTTTTGTAGACTGCTTGCATTTCCTGTGCTGTTTATTGCAGAGTTTGGGTAATAACAAACCGTAGCTTTGATCAAGCAAAGTACATAGCAGGCGAGCTACGGTAATTGGAATAGCTAGATGCCTAAACTTGATTTAATTTTAAGAATTGAGAATGAAATTATTCAGGACCACAACCTGGAAGATGCCTAGTAAGAAGCAAGTGTGCCTATATTATCACGTTTCATCATTTTCAGCTTAGAACTGTTCTTGTCATGTTGATTTGCACCTGTAGAAACTTGCCCAGGAGATGAAAATAATCAGTTTTGATGAAATATGTAATCCACTGCAGGACTATGGTTAGAGACAGGTAGAAATACTGCTGTGAAAGTACATTATAAACAGGAAAGGGAGTAAGAAACTCAAAGCATGCGTTGACCATGAACAATAGTAAATTCCAGAATCGCAGCTCAATCTTGAGATGCAAACAGGTTTGTTGTGGATTTTGTGTTGGCTGGTAGATTACTGAAGCCAATGAAAGCTCATGTCTCAATAACCTGGTTAGTCATTAGGGTGCCACAGAAGAAACAAAAAAACCTCCCACCATTTAGGCAGGACCTGGAGCCTTTTTCCAGAGAAGCTGGAAAAGCCGTAGCTGCTTCTAATAACAGCTGCAAACCTGCTTCAGTCCCAGAGGAGCTGTCCATCCTCACCCACATTTGGTGTGAGCTGCCTGTTGAACTTTCTGATGCCGCCTTCTGTTGAACCTTTTTATGTAGCTGTTGCCCCTCCAAAGCAGCCCGTCTCCTGGCCTCAGGTGCCCTCTGACATGCTCTTGAAGAACTGCCGGCAGCTGTCTTCTCCTGTGGTAGATCTGACCCATCGTTATGTATCTGCTTCCTGTAAAACAGCAAGCATCATGGGTGCCTTCTGGATGTTCGGCAGTGAACGTGATGCAGGGCACATTTTGAGGTTCTGCATTTTACAGTTAACTTGACTATAAGGCTAATTAATGCCTGAGAGGTTGGCATCACCAACCAAGTCTTCAGCAGTATTCCATCTTCCTGTTTAAAGCCCGAGCTGAGGGACCCCATATTAATAGCACTTGTGTTTAACTTGCCAAAATGGCATTAGCTGAGGCCAGGGGACCATAACTGCAAGGAACATTTGTCGTTCATTACCTAATCCCATATGCAACAAGCTCAGTTTGATTAACTCAAGAAGCTTTGGGGAAATAGAAACCTTACGCTTTTTTAAAACAACAACAACAACAACCTATTGGTGTAATTAAAATCTAAAATACTGTATACACAACTTGAGTGGCTTTTGAATGTTGTGGCGGGAATGTTAAGTAGCTCGGTGCAAGAACATCTGCATTGCATGCAGAAGGTTGCAGGTATCTATTTCCAGGTAGATCAAGGAGAGAAATATGTCTGAAACCCTGGAGAGTTAGTATAAGGCAGCTTCCTGTCTTTCTGGCAAGGTTTCCCAAACTTGGGTCTCCAGCTGTTTTGGGACTACCATCATCCCTAGCTAACCGGAATGATGGTCAGGGATGATGGGAATTGTAGTCTGAAAACAGCTAGAGATCCAAGTTCAGAAAACACTGTTGTAAAAGAACTAGGGAAGTTTCTTTAGCAAAAATTAACACATTGTGTCTGCATTTTATTCTTTTCTCTCTCCTTGCCTGGCCCTGCTAACTTGGGCTGAGTTAGAAGAGAAAAGGCTGTGGTACATTACCAAGTTTAAAGTCCGGACAGGGTTTACTGCAGTTCAAGGTATCCACAACCATCATATGAACTCGTAAGAAGAAGCCATCAGGGGTGAAGTACAGGCGATTTATCTTGTACAGTCCATTGCTGCTCACCAAGAGTGTCACCAAACTCGTTCCTTTATGAACCATGATGACATTATGAACAATCCCATTCACCACTTTAAAAAAAAGAGAGGAGCACGTAATTGATAGCTAGCCGGTACTAATTTTTCAATTGTTTGAAGCTGCTTGTAACACTCTATAAACTATTTTTCAATATAAGTTTGCTGCACAGTGCTCACCACAATAAAAAACGGCACAAAAACTAATTAAAATGTCAAAGTTAGAACTAATAAAAATAGTAAAAATTTACAATTGGTGAGTTTAATTCAACAACTGAATACATTATTCATAGTAAAATATGAGGCCAACCTGGGGGGGGAAGTATTTTGAATATGTGGGTATTCAAAAATACAGCCTGATAAACTGCACCCTCTGCAAACCACAAATACAACAGATTTCTGTCTCGATGTGACCTTCCCATCTGCTGAAGAAATGAAGCCATTTTACAGTACCCACGCTGGATAAAGATCCAAGCAGCCCTAACGTTACAAAATTGTGGGGTAGCCCCTAACAAGCAAAGGGTTTTAGGTATGCTAAAAACCAGACCATAATATTTGTGATATTTCCATGCAAAAATGACAAAAAAATTAGTTGGGGGAAGGCAAAGAGATGGGGCCCCTGACCCCCTGGGGGCATTTCACGGAAACCCAGGGGTTCCCGTGGTATCTTAGGTGGTCAAAAGTAAAAGCATGTCAAGGAGCACTTTGTAAGAACATGCACAGAGAAAAAAACTACTACTGAGTACTTTGAAATGTATTTCCATGTGTTTCTATATTTCTACTCTGCCCTTTGGGGGTTGACAATAATGTTATCAATGGCAATGATAAAACTAGAACGTTAACATTTGCCGTGGCCAAGTACCGGTAGGTTGGAGGCTTGTGCTAGCCCTGACTATGGAAAGAGGGACAACAACTCTCTTGGGTGGAAAGAAAACTTTTTTGGGAGTACTAGAAAACAGTTGCTGAAATTGCCCCAAGACTTGTATGTAACCAAAGTATGACCGATTTAGTTGGAGCTGGGTGATCTTACCGAATTCGCTGCTGCAGAACGCCTCCACCTCTTCATGTTCCCTCCTGCAGTCTGTCAGGCACACCTCTGTATTGTCAGCATCTAGAGCAAGAACAAGAGTCCCATGGATACACAGAAAGTTAACGCTGCGCAGCTCCATAGCAGGAAGGAAGGGAAGCCTGTCTTACCCGAGCAACTAAGCAGTGGAACAGACCAGTTTGTTAATGGCTCTAAAGACACTCGTTTTCCTAGGGTGTCCAGCAGCCACCAAGCTTCCAGTACCTCCTGCTGTGATATCAGAATGCTGACCTGATGCACTAATTGGATGTTTTTCTCTCTCAAAAAAAAAATATTGGAACAAAAAAAAAATCTCTCTTGTGTGCAGATGCATTCAGAAGACCCAAACGCAACAGATCTCACACAGCAGAGAAACTTGAGTTGAAAAGCGAACTTTAAAGGTTTCTAGCCAGGGTTTCTACCCAGGCTGAAGCCAGCAGAGGAGCATAATTGAGGCTCCCAGCATGTCTGGTCTTTACCCGGAGAGAAAGATGAAAAAGTGAGTGGCAGCTGCGAGCTTCGTCCTTCCCCTTTCCCCATGAAGCCAAAGAAGGCTCATTTAAAAGGGAGAGGGGAGTTGGAGAATCTGGAGATGCTGCAGTGGCTTTCCCCAGTAGAGCAAAAGATAAGATCCCCTGTGGGTGTGAGTAAGAAATTCTGTAGGGATGGAGGGAGGGGTGGGAAGCTGAGGAAGAGAATCCGTTGGACTAGATGATATCTGGGGTCCCTTACAGCTCTACAATTCTGATTCCACAATCCCTTCAGAACTTTGAATGTGTTTAAATAGCTACAGCTGAGTCATTTCACAGACTACACACGAATTTCACACAGAAAATTAAGGGGTATGTGAGCATTTTCCAAAGTGATACAATGGTACCTTGGGTTACAAACACTTACAACTTCAGGTTACAGACTCCGCTAACCCAGAGGTAGTACCTGTACTAAGATTTTCAGCTGCTTTTCCGGCTTAAAAAACATATTAAGAAATCACTGCAGTAATTTGTTCAGCTTCAGCTTTTCCAGAGCAGGGGCCGTGGCTATTCAGTGCTTATAATACTGTACCCTTTATCACTGAATGAATTGTATAAATTCAATGAATTGTATAAATTGGGTAAGAAAAATGGTTTTGCTTTTGAAAAATTTAAGTTGTTGGATACTAAAGGTAAAAATTTATCTAAAATGTACAAGTTATTGTTGGAGTGGCATACAAAAGATGAACAAGTTAAATCTGTGATGATAGATTGGGCAAGAGATGTAGGATATAATATAATGTTTGAGGATTGGGAAAGATTGTGGAAGAAAGGGGTCAAGTTCACCGCATGTACTTTGTTAAAGGAAAACATAATGAAAATAATGTATAGATGGTATTTGACTCCTGTAAAATTAGCAAAGATATATCATAATTGTGACAATATATGTTGGAAATGTAAAGAAAAGGAAGGAACCTTTTATTATATGTGGTGGACCTGTCCCAAGGTGAAAGACTTCCGGGAAAAGATTTATAATGAATTGAAAAAAATGTTGAAATATACATTTATAAAGAAACCAGAGGCCTTTCTTCTTGGAATAACAGGTTTGGAATTGCCCATGAAAGATGTTAAATTATTTTTGTATGCCACAACTGCTGCTCGTATTTTGTTAGCTAAAAAGTGGAAAACCCAAGAATTACCAACAATAGAAGAATGGCAGATGAAGATGATGGATTTTTCGGAGCTAGCCGACCTAACAGGAAGAGTCCGCAACCAGGAGGAGGAGTATCAGGAAGAGTGGAATAAATTTAATGATTATTTAGTTAAATTTGCTAAGTTAAACTAACTGAAAACAGCTTGCAGATACTTAATGGGCATAGGATTTTATTTACCGGTATGTTAAGTGATGAATTAATATGTTTAATTCCATCTAAGGATGTTAATGTTTAAGTTAAATTTCATAAAAATTGGGATTTGGAAAACGTTAAAAGGACATGCAATGAAATTCAACCAAGGGGAAGCGAGGAAGTCACTTAACCAAGTTAATAACTGTAATTTTCAATAAGGCTATGATTTATGTTTGTTTGTTTTGTGTGTTTGTTTGTTTGTTTATAATACTGTGAAAACTAATAAAAAATTTGGAATATATATATATATATATATATATAAAAAATACTGTACCCTTACAATACTTTCAAATGCCTAACAGAACACTTATCAAAAGGCTTAAACCAAGCATAGACTTTGTTCCTAAACCTTGAGCCCATATTAATTGCCAAATCCATATGTTTAATTTGCATATGAACTAAACAATTGTAGCATGATTCTGGTTGGTTTCCCTCCCTTCCCCAATGAAGTTTGTTTTCGACTTCTTAATTATCCATTGAATTTCACATAAATGCAAGTTGTTCCTCCATTCGCACAGGAGGGAAGCGATTTCCACCACCTACAGAACTTTGTGGAACATCTTGCTCCAATCTCAACAGTTGCCCGGTCCCTGGGACCAGATATACAAACAGTGCTGGGGGCTTCTAGAGGGTAGAAATGTATTATGTACCACAAGCTCTGTTCCATTAACAGAAAAAACATCAGGATTCAAGCCAGAGTTCATTTCTCCTGGTAATATATGTTTTAGAAAACAAGATGAATTTTCAATTGTCTGTTGTAATTGTAAAGCTTGTTGCCTGCCAAGACACCTTTGTCAAGAAGCAAATCCCATGTCATCATGTATTTAACAACTAGTTGTTGTTTTTTTCATTCATTTGCTCCATTGTCAGCCTTGCCAATTCCATTCTTTCTCAGACCTTTCGAAGCCATTAGCTTAGTTGGCTGTGTTCAAGCCTTGCATTGTCTGGCAGAAAGCTAACAGCAAACAAGCACAGCTGCATATATAGATTCACTGTTTTGTTTTCCTGATGGTTTACCTGTGCAATCGTATAAAGGTAAAAGGTAAAGGACCCCTGGATGGTTAAGTCCACTCAAAGGCGACTCTGGGGTTGTGGCACTCATCTCGCTCTTCAGGCCGAGGGAGAAGGCATTTGTCCAGACAGCTTTCCAGGTCATGTGGCCAGCATGACTAAACTGCTTCTAGCACAAGGGGACACCATGACAGAAACCAGAGTGCACACAAATTGCGATCTAGTATCACATTGTATATTGCACTTAAGGCACACTTAAAATGTTTTATTTGCAGCTGGATAGCTGACAAATAGACAGCTCCTGCTATGCTCCGAAGGCGTGCAAAAATAAATGGGCCTTAAGCTGACAAATGAATAAGTATGTGGGGAACGATCGGATCTGTACTGGGTTCACGCACCTATTTTGAAATGAAAAGCAGGAAGCGAGCGGCTTGTATACTTACTACTCTGGCTATTTTAAAGCATTAATTTGATCAGCGTTTACTACAGCATTTGCTACTGGGAGTGGCGGATGCTACCATGATACGTACTACTTGCAGTGGGATATATTGTGCATGGTATTTAAATGCTAGGGGAAACGAAGCCGCTATTATCCAATAGAATAAACTGAAAATGAATGAGCTGTTTTACATGGGAGGTCCGATTAAGGCTCACAACCTTCTGAGCTTAAAAACCTGATCGTACATATGCTTATTTGGAAGTAAAAAAGGTAAAGGGACCCCTGACCATTAGGTCCAGTTGTGGCCGACTCTGGGGTTGCGGCGCTCATCTCGCTTTATTGGCCAAGGGAGCCGGCGTACAGCTTCCGGGTCATGTGGCCAGCATGACTAAGCCGCTTCTGGCGAACCAGGGCAGCACACAGAAAAGCCGTTTACCTTCCCGCCAGAGCAGTACCTATTGATCTACTTGCACTTTGACGTGCTTTCTAAGTGCTAGGTTGGCAGGAGCAGGGACCGAGCAACGGAAGCTCACCCCGTCATGGGGATTTGAACTACCGACCTTCTGATCAGCAAGTCCTAGGCTCTGTGGTTTAACCCACAGCGCCACCCGCGTCCCTTATTTGGAAGTAGGCGCCATAAAATCAGTGGCACTCCCAAGCTAGTGCGGGTGGGTTTAGGATTGCCGCCTAAAGCTGTAAATGGACTTAAGGTGAGCAGCAAAGCCCTGCTTCCTTACCGTTCTTTGAGACACTGTGGTGATACGGCAAGCTTGATGCCTGTCGGTTTGTGAGCCAGGAGGGATCGGTGCCATTTCCGAGCGAACGGCTGGGCTTGTCATAGGGATTGATCTTGCCAGGCCGATGGAGGCGATCCAAACTTCCAGAACGTTGCCCAGGGCTTGACCCTGCGTTCTTGAAAGGGTGAGCTTCTGCCAGCAATCTACCCTGGCGATGGGAATAGGCAGGGGGCCGGAAGTAGGCAGAGATGCTGTTGGCTGCTTTCAGTTGCAGCCTATCCGTGTGCATTCGGTTTGTTTGACTGAAGTTAATGGCGGGGAGAATGCTCTCCTGGCGGCTCTCGGAAGGGAAGCCCTTGGCATCCTGAATGGGCTCCTTCCTTAAACCTGTGTGGTTCTCTACTGAATATTTGACCTTTTTCTTCTTGTCCCGGGACAGCAGGTGCGTCTGTTCGGCTTTCCCTTTCCCCAGGCCTTCTGGAGGCAGTGTCTGGTCCTCAGTGCTGCCGCCTCCTAGTGGAGACTTACTCTGGCTTGGTGTGGAGCCAATGGACCCATACATGTCTTTGCTGAACGGCTGGATAGACTTTCCAGCATATGGCAGGGGCCCTGCATTTGAGAGAGAGAGAGGAGGGAGGGAGGGGTTAAAATGCAACTCGAGCAACGATCCAAGTTCCATGGGTGCAGCAATCACTCTCCCCTTCTATGGCAAGGCCTTAACGTACTATGGGAGAAGAGCACAACTGTGTTTATTTAAGTTTCCTAGTGGAAGTCAAAGTTGGTGACTAATGGGATGTTAAGGGGGATTCATGGATGTTCGTGGGATTACCCTGCTCCTTTGCATTTGCCTTTAAGCATTTTACATGCAGTACGTTTGTACAGTGGTACCTCGGGTTACAGACGCTTCAGGTTACAGACTCCGCTAACCCAGAAATAGTACCTTGGGTTAAGAACTTTGCTTCAGGATGAGAACAGAAATTGCAGCGCGGCAGCAGCGGGAGGCCCCATTAGCTAAAGTGGAGCTTCAGGTTAAGAACAGTTTCAGGTTAAGAACGGACCTCCGGAACGAATTAAGTACGTAACCAGAGGTACCATTGTACACCGCTGAAATGGTCCTGCTACCTCTGAAGGATCTGGTAAACCTCCGAGTATAGGGCGGTATATAAATTCAATAAATAATCACAATAATAATAAATGCAAATCATACAATCAAATCATAAGGAGACCAGCCACTTCTTAGCCAGCCTTTTCCTCCTCCTCTTTCTCCTTGTGTGGCGTATTTTGGTCAGGGACCTCATTGGAAGAACAGGACTGAGTGGCAGCTGCTACATCAGGGCAGCTGTCCTCAGGTCTCAGCAGCCACATTTGATTTTGTGCCAGCTTCTAGTTCCTAAAACACTACCCTATCCATGAATGCCACTGAAGAAACTCAATGGCATTTGTCTATTTTCTCCCGCCCTAGAGCAATCTTCTCTAATCTGGGGTCTCCAGATCAACAACTCCCATCATCCACAGGCAGCAGTACCAATGCTCAAGGGCCCTGGAGTTGGACAACAGTGGAGCACAAGACTGGGGGAGCCTATTTAGAGCCTCCATATAACTTTAAATTGCTACTGTGGTGAAACTGTTAGGCTAGCCAAGCATCTTTCCAGTTCAGGCCTCAGCGCTGCAGAACAATGTATTGCGTTGTGTGCTTTAAAAAAAGAAAACCCAGCTGTGGACAAGCGGAAGCATGGAAACCTAGAATTATTTCCCCCCCCCCCCTGTTTTCGTTACAAATTAAAAGCACGATTTATAAACAAACTCCTCTCTAAAAAAAGAATGCTGAATGTCCAGGGAGCATCCGGGGAGCAGGGTTCACATTGCATCCTGGTCCGATTGTTTAAAAGTCCCTGACAAACATGGCTATTTGATTTTCCCATCCACAGGAAGCTCTGTTGACAATGTCGTCTGCTCTGCTTAAGCCCTGTCACCAGCTCTGCATATTGATGAATAATTCTTCTACCTAAGATTTAGATCCCCAAGATGCAAAGGCAGTTGTCTGAGAACCCTAAAAACCGAACTATAATGTCCCATCTGCCGTTTGGTTACAAATTACAATCTGATCCTAACTGTGTTTATTCAGAAGCCCCATTCAATGCTTGGATCGATTTCCGAGAAGGAACGCTTAACACCTCACCTTCAGTTCTGGGATTCTCAGTTTCCAAAACCAACTTTTATGTATTCCCCTTTCAGCTTGCAAATAACAGCGCAGTTTAAGCTTTGAAACTGGTTTATCCACAGTCAAGTTAACTCTCTGATTGGACATATTAACAACCTTGAATTCAAAATACTTCATACAAGTAATTTAACTCAACCTTCCCACGTAGAGAAGCAACTGTGTTTTTTAAAAAAATATGCTCAATTATAATAGCAGGTGGCCTATTTCTTAGCAGCTGAATAGGAGGAAAGTTTATTAGGGAGGTTTGACCTTTTTACTAATGGAAGCTAAAAAAACTAACGATGGTGAGCTCTCAGTTGTATTTTGTTACTGCCACAGGCTGGCGATAGAAAACGGGCAACTTCCCAAACCTGGTTTTATGCCGGTTACATGAAGAATGAGCTTTCCCACCCCCCACCCCGGCAGAATTGTTTGTGGGTTTGTGGGTGGGTGATTGCATTATTCCAACCCTTCTTTCCCACATTTAGATTGTCAATATAGAGAATATATATATATATATATATATATATATATATATATATATATGTGTGTGTGTGTGTGTGTGTGTGTGTGTGTATATATACATATATGTGTGTGTGTGTATATACATACACACACACACACACATATATATATATATATATATATATATATATATCACATAAGATACTCAAACAAATATTCGCAACTCCCACTGTTGATTCTGTCTGCTGATTTAACTCCAGTTCTGAAGTCTCTTGCCAGTTGACATCGTCACTGACATGCTCTTTCCCATGACCACAGCTGGTGAGAGTAAAGATTGCCCTGATACCACCAGCGAAGGCAGAACATTGCCATGAAGGGAGAGGAAAATCCCTTGCAGGCCAAATGGTGGCTTTTCCATCTAACCATGCCCATTTCTCCCCACCCTGCACTCCTTTGATTAAATAGACCCACCATTTCTGTTTTTGAGTCCATCACATGCGATTCCAAGGGGAAGGTTGTCATGTAATGGGTTGCGCTTTTATCAGATGGCGCTTACATTAAAATTTTCCTGTCCGTATATTCTCGGGTTCCCCATTTACCGTAGAGGAGTTATGTGTTCATATGCACAAAGGAAAGTTCAGGGTTGCACAGGACTCAGCTATGCAGCTGCAAATAAAGCATTTTAAATGGGCTGCAAAGCACAATATACAAATGTGACACGAGATGGCGACGGTGAGTTATGCAAAATTCAATGTATTTTTCAAAACAGCTTTTTAAAAAAATATGTGTTTAGATTTCACCGCAGTCTCATCCCAGGGTGTTGCTTGAATGGGTTCTAATGAAGCACATACCTTGCCTTAGGTCAGTTTTATCACTCTACTTTAAACAGTTGTGGTTTCTCCCAAAGAATCCTGGGAACTGTATTTTGTTGTGGGTGCTAAGAATTGCTAGGAGACCCCTGTTCCCCCTCCCATAGCTACCACTCTCAGGGTAGTTTAACAATCAATCCCTCTTCCCTGAGAACTATGAGAACGGTAACTCTGTGAGAACAGGGGCCTCTGAACAACTCTCAGCACTTTTAGCAAACCACCGTTGCCAAGATACTTTGGGAGAAGCCATGGCTGCTTAAAGGAGCATGATACTGCTTTGAATGTGTCGGCAAGTGGAGCCCTGGATTCAAATCCCTGCTCAGCTCCAAAGACCAGTGGGTGAACTTGGGCTGGTCACTTTCTCTCTCAACTTAAGGGAATCAGCTATAAAGCTGCAAATAAAACATCTGAAGTAGGTTTGAAGTGCAATATACAATGTGACACTAGATGGCGATGGCGAGCCTTATGGAAAATTCAATGTGTTTTTAAAAACGCTTTTTTAAAAAAGCATTTTCAGAACGTTTTTTATATGTATGTAGGGAGGTAGCCAATAATGCATGCTGCTTGGAGGTCCTTTGAGGAAAGGCAGGATAAAAAGGCAAATGTTGATCTTTTTATATTTCCAATTGCATTCTGCTCTTGTGCAATGACTGACACTGCCTGATCTACTCTAGCTAATTCTGACCTAGAAGAATGTAATACAGGCATTCTGCTTTATACTTTTCTGGACCTCCAGGATCCTTTTTCACTATCAGAAGGAGCCCTGGATCTATGAGTGCTGCTGTCAGGCTTGGGAATATTTCCTGTTGGAGTCCCCCTCCCCGCACAAAACTGACAAACATAGTACAAGAATGCCCAAAGTGTACGATGTATCGTCGTCATCCTCATTCTAGAACCACACATTTTATTTTATATAAAAGCATTTTTAAACTGCAGAATATTAAAATAGTCACTAAGCTATGTATATTAGAAGGAGGAGGAGGGATCTGTGTGTGAGAATAATTTTAATACATTAATTTTAAATAAAATACACATGGGTGACGTGGAGCACAGCCATCTGCTTTGCACTGTTTGCTCCCAGCATTGCTTATACAGTGGTACCTCGGGTTAAGTACTTAATTCGTTCTGGAGGTCCGTTCTTAATCTGAAACTGTTCTTAACCTGAAGCACCCCTTTAGCTAATGGGGCCTCCTGCTGCCGCCGCGCCGCCAGAGCACAATTTCTGTTCTCATCCTGAAGCAAAGTTCTTAACCCGAGGTACTATTTCTGGGTTAGTGGAGTCTGTAACCTGAAGCGTATGTAACCCGAGGTACCACTGTATAGAGTTCAATGAGGCTCACTCCCCAGTAAGAATGCATAAGACTGCAAGTTTAGCCAAGCACAAGGGAGGCAAAAATTTAACCGGGATGAAGCAGTTTTCAGATTTGTTTGACTCCTCTTTCACTCAAAGCGAAAACCTTAATGGGTTGTTTTTGTCACACTGCTTATCAGTGGAAATGCAGGATGTAGAATTCCAAATGGTGGGAGGCTGAAAAGCTTAAATTAACCAGCCTGGGAAAGGGCCCTCTCTCATTGCCAGAGTGTGCTTTGCACACAGAAGGCGCTAGATTTAAACCCTGGCATCTCCAGGAAGGCTGGGAATGTCCTTCACCCAAAACGCTGGAATCATAGAGTTGGAAGGGACCCTAACGGTCATCTAGTCTAACCCCCTTAAAAAGCAAAAATATGCAGCTGCCCCATACAGGGATAGAACCTGCAACCTTGGCATCATCAGCACCACATTCTATATTATGTTTTTATGTGTGTTGGAAGCTGCCCAGAGCGACTGGGACAACCCAGTCAGACGGGTGGGGGTACAAATAATAGGATGATAATGATGATGATTATGATGATTTATTATTAACCAACTGAGCTATTCAGTCAGTGCAGATAACACTGGGCTAGATGGACCAGTGGTCTCACTCGGTTGAAGGCTGTGTTGCTAGGGAAGGCATCAAGCAGCTCATTTGCAAATTTTCTCTCTCTCTCTTATCTATCTCTTCTTCTTTTCCCCCTTCCTCTCCTATCTCTGGAGGCTTAAGGATTCGCTGCACTATCTCAAAAGCCTGAGGAACAAATGGTCATAGTCCCTCGAAGGCTTATCCCGTAGGCTACTGTTGCACTAGGTTGCCATATGTCTGTTTTCCCCTGAACATGTCCGGGGTCCTAAGGATTTTCATTTTAAATTGGCAAATTGTCTGGGTTTTCGCAAACAGAACTGAGAAGTATGTGTGTCCAAAAAAAGCTCAACAACTCTTTGTGTCTGGATTTCTACTTCTTGAAATATGGCAACCCTACAGTGTTGCCTCACCACCTCACCAATTGCCATAATTTAGATGTCTCTATGCCGCTAGTCCAGAAAAACACACATACATACATATACACACACACACACACACGGGACGTGGGTGGCGCTGTGGTCTAAATCACAGAGCCTAGGACTTGCCGATCAGAAGGTTGGCGGTTTGAATCCCTGCAACGGGGTGAGCTCCCGTTGCTCGGTCCCTGCTCCTGCCAACCTGGCAGTTTGAAAGCACGTCAAAGTGCAAGTAGATAAATAGGTACCACTCCGAAGGGAAGGTAAACGGCGTTTCCGTGCGCTGCTCTGGTTCGCCAGAAGCGGCTTAGTCATGCTGGCCACATGACCCGGAAGCTGTATGCCGGCTCCCTCGGCCAATAAAGCGAGATGAGCACTGCAACCCCAGAGTCGGCCACGACTAGACCTAATGGTCAGGGGTCCCCTTTACCTTTACCTTTATGCCGCTAGTCCAGAAAAACACACACACACACACACACACACACACACACATATATACACACACACACACACACACACACAGAATTAACATCCCAAACAGGCCAGATGCTGGTGCACAGGTCCCCCCCCCAGGCGTGCACACAGGTGCAAAGGTTCCTTCCCAAGGCTCGGGGGGGGGGGGTTTGAGGGTTGCCACAAGTCCGGAATCTTCTGGACGCAGCCGGAATACTGCAGTCGGCAGTAGTGTCTGGCTGGAAATTGGGGGTATGTCCATGAAAATCTGGACATACAGCAACCTGTGTTGGCATTTTTGCTGATTTTCCATGAACATATCTCAAAAACGTCACTCTCAACAACTTTGGCTAATAATAATAATAATAATAATAATAATAATAATAATAATACAGTGGTACCTCTGGTTACGTACTTAATTTGTTCCGGAGGTCCGTACTTAACCTGAAACTGTTCTTGACCTGAAGCACCACTTTAGCTAATGGGGCCTCCTGCTGCCCCCGCACCGCTGGAGCACAATTTCTGTTCTCATCCTGAAGCAAAGTTCTTAACCTGAGGTAATATTTCTGGGTTAGCGGAGTCTGTAACCTGAAGCGTATGTAACTTGAAGTGTATGTAACCCAAGGTACCACTGTAATAATAAAACTCAACAACTTTGGGCAATAATAAGAATAAGAATAATAAAAGCTCAAGAACTTTGGGCTAATAATAATAATAACAGCTCAACAACTTTGGGAAATTATAATAATAATAATAGCTCAACAACTTTGGCCAATAAGAATAACAATAATAAATCTCAACAACCTTGGGCAAGAATATTATTATTATTATTATTATTAGCTCAACAACTTTGAGCAATAATAATAATTTAAATAACACAACTTTGGGCAATAATAATCAGTCCTTTTTTTTCTGAGGGGACGCAGGGGTACGCATACCCCTAAATATTTTGTGAATCTTTTACTTTTGTCCATTTACTGTACGTATTTATTTTTCCCGATTTGAACTACAAAATGGTATTTTCTTGAGTCAAAATGAGAGTACCCCTAAACATTTTTTAATAGAAAAAAAGCATTGGTGATAATAATACTGCAATAATAAAGCTCAATAATTTTGGGGGGAAATAAGAATAATAAAAGCTCAACAACTTTGGCCATTAATAATAATAATAATAATAATAATAATAATAATAAAGCTAAATAACTGTGGATCATAATAATAATAATAGCTCATCAACTTTGGCCAGTAATAATAATAATAAAGCTCAATAACTGTGGATAATAATAGTAATAATAATAGCTCATCAACTTTGGCTAATAATAAAAATAATAATAAAAAAAATAATAATAAATCTCCACAACTTTGCTCAGAAAAGCTGCACGACTTTTCTGTGAGGCGAATTCCCTCCGCGTCTGTGGGAAGGGCTGCAGCTGGTTCAGGCGAAAGTTGGGCAGCAGGCAGGGAAGCGCGTGAGTGCGTGTCTGTCCCCGCGGGGCCTCCTCGGCTGCTGGCAACACCTTACCTGCCCCAGAGCTGAAGGGGAAGCCCAACGCGAAGCCCAGGAGCCAAAGACCTGGGGATGTCATTGTGAAGGAAATCTTTTTCCAAACTCCAAGGGAGCCAGAGTGTCTCTCTCTCTCTCTTCCTTTCTCTCTCTTTTGGCCCTTCCCCCTGTTCATGCTAATGAGAGGCATCCTTAGGGGAAACGGGAATCAGTCACTCCCTGGAGCAAGACCCAGCTTTTTTATTATTATCATCATCGTTTGTTTTATTTACTTATATTTTATTGAAGTGATTTCCATTAAAAGAAATACAGAGAAAAAGAAAAGTAAAGGGGAGGGGGAAAGAACAACAAAGACACATATTTTTTTTAAAAAATCGCAAAAATGCACTATGCAACATTCCCACACGTTCTTCTAGAAATTGGTACAGTTTTGTTATCTTAATACTTATGTGAAGGTTAATGGCCTAGTGTATTTGTATAAAATCCTTCCGGATATTATCATATTTATCTAAGTGTGGGCCCTGTAGCAGTCCATTCAGAGGTTGCGAGTGATGCCAAACAGTCAATTAACGGGTATCATATCTTTTATTTTTCCAATTAATCGATATCAGTCTCTTGGCCACCTTTAGGGCACAGTTCCTGGGAGCAGCCTGGCTCTGCAATCCTATCAAGGGGCATCTTCCTCCAACTAACCCTGGTCCTCCGAGGGCAGCAAGGGCCTGAAATAATTCAGGGAGGGGTGGACAGGAAAAAAAGGGACTAAAAGAATCAAGAAAACTGCCAAAGCATTAAAAAAATTTAAACAGAAGCCAAACTGGAATGAATATTACAATTAACCATAATAATTAATGATAGGCAGAGAAGAAGGAAGACAATCAGAGCCAATATTCAAACTGGGAAAGAAAATTGGAAATACAGACAGGGGGTGATTAATGGCTGCTGCTGCTGAAATATTGAAAGGAGATAAGAGATCAAATGTGATTCACCGGGAGAGGAAGAAAAATAAGATATTGAAAAAGAACCATTACCACTTTGGGCTAGAATCACGGGGCGTATACCAAAAAAAGAGGAAAGTGTTATCCCACTTCCTCTGAGTGCTATGGGAGATCATTTATGGAGATGAAAGGATTTATTAACAGACCAGTGACAGTTTAACAGCCTGCCAGAGAAGAATGGAGCCATATAGGAGTAGAAACATGATTTTGGAGGATGGGAAGAATGGCAGGAGGAACATTGGGGCTGTGGGATGTACCTCCAGCTGCCAATAACAGAATAAAGAGGAAGAAGAGAGAAAATGGAGATATAAGAGCTATCTTGGCAAACAGAGGGAAAACAAAAAGCAAATTAATTGAACTGAGGTTTAGTCGAAAGAAGGAGGAGAATGAAATACTGGCACCATGCAGAAAGGAGCAAGGGAACGCCACAGGAACTCTCCCCAAACAGACCAGGTGCAGAGACATTGCTGAACTACAACTCCCATCATCCCTGGCCATTGACCATGCTTGCTGGTGCTGAGGAGAGTGGTTGTTCAGCACCATCTGGAGAGTCAAAGATTCCCCACACCCATAGGAGGCAACTCCTAAGGGCCGAGGTCCCTTCAGGACCCCCCAATAAAATCCAGCCCCCAAGTCAATAGGCATTGCCATTCAAATGGGGTTTGTGTGTGTGCTGCATCTTGTGACTGTGTTGAGTGGTCCTAAGATAGGCAGAGGACCACTTATTTATGGGGCATGATGAAATTGACTTGAGAAGTGTTGGGGCCATGGAAACCTCTGGCCTTTTGTACAGCCAGAATGGAGCCCGCAGTACCAAGATAAAGAGTTGTTGCTCCATTTCCCTGGGCCTCTGACCCTGCCCAACACTGGCCTACGGCCCCTGGAAGGATCCCTCCAAAAAATGTAGTTTTATGATGTTTCCGCGCTCTCTTTCTCTCTCTCTATATATATAAATTGTGTGTGTGACTCTGTGTGTGTGTGCATATAACACTTGAAATCACTAGAGGTATACCCACAATTGTGGTAGGTTTGAATAGATTAGACCAGTTCCTTTAAAGCAGTGTCTCCAAAATGTGGGTCCACCTGTTTTTGGACAATTCCCATCATCTCAGACCACTGGTCTTGCTTGTTTAGGGATGATGGGAGTTGTAGTCCAAAAACAGCTGGAGACCCAAATTTGGGAAACACTGGTTTAGGAATGATGCCTCCCCAGCTGTCGCCATTGGCTGCAGACTGCTCGTGATGTCGCAAAAGCACTTGGTAGCTGAGTGGATACAAGGGCAGGCCAAGGAGAAAACCCTTTTCCACTGCCCAGCAGAACACAGCTGGCAACAGCTGTGATATTCAGCAGTGTCTGGTCCCCCCCCTTTTTTTCCCTTTGGAGTAGGTGAACTGGCAAATGGAAGGTGATCATCCAGCAGCAGTACAGTATGTGAAGATGTGACAATAAAGCAAGTTTGCTTGCTGAACGGGATGGCAGCTTGAAGGCTGCTGATATCATGGAATCTTAAGAGTTGGAAGGGGCCCAAGGGTCATCTAGTCTAACCCCCTGCAATGCAGGAATCTCAGCTAGAGCATCCATGACAGATAACCATCCAACCTTAGTTTAAAGACCTCCAAGGAAGGAGAGTCCATAATATAAATAGTATTCTAGAATGGGACGTCTTTATTTTCATTGGAGAAATGTTGGAAGCTATGACCTCCTAGGGGCTGGGGTCCTTTTGTCCCTCCCCCCAATAAAATATTAGAGGGGGCTGCCCCCCAAAAAACTTGATGGACACTGCCATTCAAATAGTGTGCGTGTCATGTGATCACTTAGGTGGGGCGGGGCTTTACCCCCTCCCCCCCCCAAAAAAAACATTTTATTCAAGTTGGCAGCTCTGGTTCTAGGTCTTGTTAAAGGAAGCAGCTCTGCATATCCATGGTCCCAAGAGAAGTCGGCAAGGCAAATACGCGAGCAGGTTGCGAAGAAGCAAAAAACACTAATATTTGATTGCACAATAGCTTTCTAGATTCCCAATACTATGCACTTTATTTAATGAGGCGTCTGCAGCTGCAGCCTCAAGCCCCACATTCTCCGGGCGCAAAATCGCGTTGTGTTTAGGATGCGCGCGATCACCACCCGGCCTGATCAGACTTCTCCCTCGTTTTCGTGCAAATGAGAGCTTGCAAGCCCTTGCTGTACGTTCCGCAGCCTGGGTCCACAGACCTCTGCGCCCGCGTCCAGCAGGGAACGGCGCGACTGCTTGCAAAAGCGTGCAGCAACAGCGGCTCAGAAAGCCATCGCCGAGCTGCTTGGAAGCGCTTGGTGAATTTTGAAAGCCTTGCCGCAAAAACGAGGAACGACCCAGATGGGACTCGAACCCACAATCCCCAGCTCCGGAGGCTGATGCCTTATCCATTAGGCCACTGGGTCACCTGGCAAGAATGGCTGAGCGCCGCATTCTAAGGGCCCCGCCCGGACACGCGTGGCTCCGCCCACTCCGCGTCCATCCTCCCTCTCCTGACTTCGTCTTCCGCCCCTGAGACAATAAGCCACGCCCACCCTGCGTACTGCTCGCTTCGCGCTTCGGACTGGCTTTAACTCCACCCCCGCATCCGCAGGCTCTAATGCGCATGTCAGGCTACCGTGGGGACGGCTTTGACTCACTTGAGGGACCTGTCGACATGTAGAAGGTCTTCCGCTTGACCCCGCGGTCCTCGGGACTAGATATTTTGGGATGATTTTCACAAGCGACGTGTGTAACCTGGCTTTGCACTATCCAAGTCTGCAGACAGATCGCCATACGTCCGGGATTTCCCGGACATACAGCTGCAGCGAGCGGTGTCCACGCGAGTGATGCCCTATTGTCCGGTGAAATCCGGGTGTATGGTAGCTCTTGCCGGCAGAGTGGTTGATTATTGTTTTATTTTTGTTGCTACCCTGCCCATCAGGCTGAGTTTCCCCAGCTACTCTGGGTGCCTTCCAGCAAAATATAAAAAATAATAAAATATCAGACATTAGAAACTTCCCTGAACAGGGCTGCTTTCATATGTTTCCTGAAAGTTGTGTAATTCTTTATCTGCCTGTTGTCTGATGGAAGGGCATTCCATGGGGATGGCGCCACTGCCAAGAAGGCCCTCTGCCTGGTTCCCTGTAACTTTTTGCCAAAATAGCCAAATTTGTTTTGCGATTTTGCAAAAAAAAAAACCAACACAAAAAAACCAACCCAAGACCTTTGGCCAAAACTACAAAAAAAAAAAAGCAACAGGGAGAAAAAAGCTCAACAACTGTGGATTTTCACTTCTACTTTCTGAAATTTGGCAACCTTGCAACAGTCCAAAAGTGATGACACTTTGGTGAAAGGGGATTGTAAGCTTCCCCTATGAGGAAAGGTTAATGGGGTAGCCAGAATAGGGATAGAAAGGGGCAGCTGCCCCCACCTCCATAAATCAAGCATATAAAAAAACAACTTTCTTTATCCTCAGTGTAGAGGTTACACTAAGTGATATGTTTGAATGCTGAATGTGTAAGTGTATATGCCTAGAGAAAATGGATAAAAGAAACATCATTCCTTGTACTGCTGTTTAATGGTTATTGTGTTTGTTTAAAAATGTGTTTTTTATATATATATATAATCTCAAAGTAGAGATTGTAGAAAGATTTTCTGAACGCTTGGGGTCAAAATAAAGTAATTTAAAACGACTGTTGTGGATACATTTCATTCTGAATCTGCTAGACAGAAGAAGTTGACAGGTGGGTGTCCTGCCCCCCCCAACATAAATCCTGTCTATGCTCACGGAAAGGTCACAGCATTTAGGACTTTTTAGTACAGTACGGTATAGAAAAAAAACAAGCAAGGCATGATGTAATAAAACATTTATAAAATTAGGTGTGCCATGCGTGGAGAAAGTGGATCGAGAAACGTTTTCTCTCCCTTCTAACATCCAGTAAAGCTAATTTATGTTAAACTTGCTCCCAACAAAGCGAAGTAGGGGCCACCAACTTGGATGGCTTTTCAAAGAGGATTAGACAAATTAATGTAGGATAAGACTTTCAATGACTACTAGCCACAGCTTCTATGTCTACCTCCACTTTTAGAGACACTATGCATCTGTATAGTTTCTGGGAATCACAGGCGGACAGAGTGCTACTGCTGCACTTTTTTTGCAGGCCTTTTAACTGCTTGGCCACTGTTGCAGTGTGTGTGTACAGTATGATTTTTTTCTTTTTCTCCATTTCAAATCAAAACGTTTTACAAACTTTAAAGCACCCGAGGACTTCCCTTCTTCTCCTTCCACGCTTCATATGACGCATCATACTTTCCTACATTAGTGATGTATGGAAGTGAGAGCTGGACCATAAAGAAGGCTGATCCCTGAAGAATTGATGCTTTTGAATTATGGTGCTGGAGGAGACTCAGCCCTGAGTGCTCACTGGAAGAGAAGACTCCCTGGAAAAGACCCTGATGTTGGTTAAGATGGAGGGCATAAGGAGAAGGGGACGACAGAGGACCAGATGGTTGGACAGTGTTCTCGAAGCTACCAGCATGAGTTTGACCAAACTGCGGGAGGCAGTGGAAGACAGGAGTGCCTGGCGTGCTCTGGTCTATGGGGTCGCGAAGAGTCGACTAAACAACAACAACTTTCCTACGTATTTTACTATCACCATTGTGTATCACCATTCACATCAACTTTCCACTTTGACATCCATCAAATATTGACTGCTCGGCTGAATTTATCTTAATGCTGCCAGCCTCCTTCCTCTATTCTTGTCTTGTCTTCACCAGTTGCCCTGGGAGCGGCTAACGATTCCTCAATCCCGCCCTCCATTCCCGATCCGAATCCGGCTCGGATTCATTCAAATAAAGCACCAAGCAGCCGCGCTGAATGCTGGGGCTTGTAGTCCCGCGAGCCGGTTTTCTTAACAGCTCTCGCGAGGCCTTGGCACCGGCGGGGACGTTCCCTCCCCTCCTCCTCCTCCTCCTTTCAGGAGCGAGCGCGAGCTCGGAGCGCGTCCTTATTTTCAAACGGACCAATGAGCTCTCCGACTTGACTCGAACGCACCAATGAGAGAGCGAAAGCGCAGGGAAGTTCAAATCGCGCACCGCGGTGGGCGGAGTATTAATAGTCGTGGAGCGAGAGGCCGTGTCGGGTGCTGCTTGCTGCTGCTGCTGCGACGCGAGGAAGCCGGGGCTCCCTTTTCGGGTAGGGGGATACCCCCGACGGTGCCCTGGAGGGACCCAAATTGGGGAAAATGCGTGCGGGACCGCGCTGGGCCCCCCTTTTATAGTACAAGAGAGGGACATTTGGGGAAGAGGGAGACGCCTCTGGAAGGTTTCTAGGGGGGAGGGGGCGGGAGTGGATTCTTTGCTTTTTCTCCTCCCCACTTCTTTTCCCGCTCACTAGCTCGCTTATCCGAACTGGGTTTTTGCCCTTTCCTCCTCCCTCCGCGGTCCTCTTTCCTTTTGTGCCGCGTCTATGGAATCTCGAGGGCGACGTGGCGGGTGGGTGGGAGGGATGCCTTGTGGGTGGTCCCCCATAAGCCGCTCTGGCTCGGCTCAAGAGAAGGTTTTCTTTTTCCTTCTCCTGTTGATGAGGCTGCTTTTTAATGTTTTAATGTTGTATTTTAATCTTGTTTTTAAGTTGTGTTCATTCAACTTGTTTTTACTATTGTTTGTTAGCCGCCCGGAGCCCGGCCTTCGCTGGGGAGGGAGGGGTATAAATAATTTTTATTATTATTAGAGACGCTCGGCGAGTGAAAGTGACTCGAGCCTGAGCCGTTTAGGCAGCTGAGTCCGTCCTTTCCTGGTGGACGGGCAGGATACCTTCTCTTTCTCGCACGTGTTCGCTTAAAGGGGAGCTGGGGCAGGAGAGGTTTAAGAAAGGGTGTAAGGAGTGTTAGAAACTGAGGTGGGATCTACACACGTGGAAAAATAATCTGAAAACGCTTTTTAAAAAGCGTTTTTTAAAAAACGCATTGAATTTTCCATAAGGCTAGCCATCGCCATCTAGCGTCGCGTTGTATGTTGCCCTTGAATCACGCTTAAAACGGTTCACTTGCAGCATGGATATGAAAGCTAGGAGCTAAAGAGCACCTTAAACCGAGGCTATGGGCGCAACAACATAATGTCTATGCACACTTTTTTAATAACAAGAATACAAAGCTGAAAATGAATGAACTGCAGCTAAAATATTGTGTTCGTTTTCCATATGGTCTAGTCCCACCCCCCTAATATTCTAGACAGCTACTAGTCTTCAGAGAGTAGCTGGAAGTGGGGAGGCAGAAAAAAGGTCCTCATTTTCTTCCATTCGGCAGTTTTAATCTGAAATCTTAGGTGCAGTACTGCGCCCAGAGCTCAGAAACTCGCTAATTAAATTCCCCGTCGTAAAATGTGCCTAGAACAATGGGAGTTTTGAACAGTGTGCATAAGAAAAGGTGGGGCAAGTAGCACCAGTCCGGGACTTTCCTATTAATAAGTAACAACCAATAGGACTGCAGCTCAGGGAAATGTGAAAGTGATCCTGAAAATATGAGGTCCTTAAGGACTTAAGGAAGCTTGGCTTTCAAATCCTGAATTGGAGTGTTGAGGTCCCAACTGTAGCAAAGCTGTCCATTCTATTGTTAAAGCCCCAAGGGATAACTCTTACCTGTCACTTTGTCATTCCTTCCTTTTTCCTCCAAGGAAGGAGAATTTGAAACTGAGTGAGTACCCATTCTTGTTTACTCGGAAGTAAGCACCACTGAGTTTAGTGGAACTTGCTCCCAGTAAACAGTTCCTAAGATTGCAGCCGTAATAACTGACACAGCGTCAGGAATGCTGTAGATTTTCTAGTTGGTGGTACCTCGGGTTACATATGCTTCAGGTTACAGACTCCGCTAACTCAGAAATAATACCTCAGGTTAAGAACTTTGCTTCAGGATGAGAACAGAAATCGTGCTTGGCAGCGTGGCAGCAGCAGGAGGCCCCATTAGCTAAGAACAGTTAAGAACAGTTTTAGGTTAAGAACAGACCTCTGGAATGAAATAAGTACTTAACCTGATGTACCACTGTATTTCAAATGTTGAGGGTGCCTGAATGAAAGAGGGGGAGCAAACTTGTACGGGGGAGTTAACTGAAGCTTAACAAAACAGAATATACCTTATTCTAGGGTTGCCATATTTTGAAGAGCAAAAAAAGGGACAGCTCTCATTTTAAATACCCATGAAAAAAAGGGCGTGTCCTGGAAAAAGAGGACATATGGCAATCCAACTTTATTCTCTTTCTGGCATTAAGTGTTTTGCAGGCTCCCAAGGCTGTAATCTGAAGGACACTGTCTTGGAGTTGAGAGCCACTGAGCTCAGTAGGACTAGCTCCTGGTCATATTTGATTCTATCCTCTCTAAGTAGACTAGTCTTATTTGAGTTGGGTGAAGAGTACTTCAGGTTCTTGAACAGGCGGCGATACCTTAACAACTCCACAGGGTCAGCTTTACAATTTTGAAATAACAGATAAATGACATAAACCATAAACTGCCTTGGGTTCCTTGCTGGAAAGGCAATATATCAATGCCATAAACAAATAAACTCAAAAATCTCTTTGCAGATTTGAAATCTTGCCCATATCGAGATCGAGATGTCTGCCAATGAGAATGCTGCCCGTCTCAACAGGTTCAAGAATAAGGGAAAGGATTCTAATGTGAGTAAACCTGACTGTCGTTAGTTTTTTGTTTTGTTTGTGTGCCCAAAAATGCAGTTCAGTTTTTTAAAAGGTTGCGTTTTCACCAGGAAATGAGGAGACGGCGGGTGGAAGTCAACGTGGAGCTG